CCAGGGAGTTGTGTTGGCATCAAGTAACACGTTTAATAGTTAGTTATTTTACGACTCCCTGCTTCGAACTAACCGGTACCCGTACTCCCCAATACTGCAATACTCCAATAGCTGAGGAGTTAGTTATAGTAACAGTTGTACATGTGCTCCGCACCAAGCTGAGTAGTGCACTAGTGCACTAGTGAGTTGAGATACTAGTAGCCTGAGTCCAAAGGTCGCGTTTACCGGTACCTGTATGTGTAACCGGCGGAGATGCTCCAGTTTCACCACCACAGTTGCGTCTGCAACCACCTCTATCATGCAGTATTCTGTTCTCGAGGTTCGTGGTTTCTCGTAAAAAACAAAACAAAAAAACAAAAAACAGTGGCATGCAGTGCCAGTGCAGCAGCCCACTGTACTTGGCAGATGTACATGTATGTGGCTAGTGCTACATGTGTGTCATGCACTTTATCACAGTGTGGAAGGTGGCAAAGATTTGTGGTGGTGGTGGTGGTGGTGGTGGTGGTGGTGGTTGGTGGTGGTGGTGGTTGGTGGTGGTGGTGGTTGGTGGTGTTGGTTGGTGGTGGTAGTGTTGGGTTTGGTGGTGGTGGTTGGTGGTGGTGGTGCACTGTTGGTAATTTTAACAGTGTCATTATCTGGTGATGATAACGCACAAAAGGGAGTCTTTGACACACTGTTAAAATGTGGGCAACCATGTTTATCATCACATTGATTATTGATTCCCTTGAATTTACTAAGAATGATCCGCAGAAATGCTGGCATTAGGTAATTCCTTCTCAGTACCGATTTTCCCCTTCTGACAAGACCTATGGTGGGAGAAACAGCTGTCGCTAGAAATATTGCAATCAGAATCGACTTTCTTGCTGGGCCTCTGTCGCGGCGGAGTATGTGAGAAGAAGAGCGTAGTGCATGTACATGTACATGTATGTGTTGCATTGCAAGGCGATCACAAAAGAATTTTCCGTCTGTCTGTGGGAATCCGTGCAATGGGACTAATCAAATCTCGAACATTCGCCAAGTGCTAGTGGAACACGCACATTGTAATCTGTGTATCTAAAACACCGGTTTTCGATGCGTCTTTTGCAAATTGCAATAGTGCATTGTACAGTTAGTAAAGGATTCCAGACGGTCAAAGAGAAAGTTAACACCCACCTGCGCCTTTCCCGCTGGTGGTAGGAACTGACAGGCCACGAAGTAAAAGAAAAAATAATAATCTTCCTCGTCCTACGTTCGCTCCGCCACTCTCAGATATCGTGCATACCGTACTGTGCCCCGTAATCACGTCTGCATAATTATTATTATTTTTAGGAATGAACTCCTTGAGCCTCTTGTACGGGCAAAATAACACATTTGTGAAGAATCAACACAATTACATAAAACGAATCATCAGATACAGTAATGATTATAGTACAGAGTCTGTCACTCAGTAGGATCACTGCAGGTTCACTGGATGCGTGCCTCAGCCACCACTGGCACAGCAGGGGACTCAGGCACGGCAGGAGCAAACATGCTCCTTGAGCCACGCAGGCACATGGCACCACAACGCACCAGGGCAAACCCAAGGCGGAAGCGCATCAAGGAGATAATCTGCGCGTATGGCTCCTTGCTCTTCTCAACCAGGAGAGAGGCGATCCGCGCGAAAAGAGCATTGGCATGCTTGCCATAGCCACCAGAAGCAGAAAGCACAACGGGCACGAAGGAGGCATGCTCGACTTCGCGTACTCGCTCTTCGTACTTCCGGCGCTTTTCCTGTTCATGGCGTCTGTAGCTAGCAGCGACTCCAGAGAGGGAGGTGGCACGATTCGAAGACGCAAAAGGGTTGAACACCCGTACATCAATGAAGATGCGCTCGAATCGGCCATCCCACACACCACTAGCAACGTCCAGCCGAGCTTGCTCCTCCGTGACAGCTGTGCGATGGCGGAAGGCCTCTCCGGTGACGGGCTGGAGGTGGGGTTCCACCGTCACGTTATGAGCACCTTGTTATGTCGCAGCGTCGGGAAGCCACTAAACGCGCACGACAGGGCGTGACTCACATTCATCGGCTTACTGCACACGCAGAGGCTTGGGAGCCGAGGAGGTGTCCAGCCGTACCGGAGGCACAGGCCATTCCGGAAATCTCCCTTGGTGAGTGTGAAACCGCGGCGGCTGAGGGGGCGGCAGGTCAGCCAGCTGGATGCACCCTTTTCTGAGGCCAGGTCGAGAACAGGGGCCAGCTCCCAATGATCCGAGCGAAGGGCGTCAGCCATAGACTTGGACGCGCTCCGCTTCTCGGCACGAACCGTCGCCTTGACCGTCCGGAGCTGAGTCAGAGAGTCGCCAAGAGACGACTCCTGCTCCAGCAGGCAAGACACGAGGCTAGCCGTGATCCTTCTGGCTGGCTGCGCAGATGGCACCTCCTCGTCAATGCCTCAAAGACCGTTACCTTGTCGTTCACACCAAATCACCAACTCAACATCACTCTTAACGGCACACCCCTAAAGCAAGTCAAAGAACACCGTCACCTTGGAATCATACTACAAAACAACCTCCAATGGAACTTACATGTCACGCACATAATAAACAAATCCAAAAAACTCCTTCACCAACTTCGTAAAACACGAGGCCAACTTAACACCCCCAGTCTGCTCGTAATCTACACTGCCTACATTCACCCGGTTATAGAGTACGGCAGTCTCGTGTTATCCAACACCACCCGCACACAGAAGGACCAATTAGAACGCGTTCAGCGACGAGCAGCCCGTATCTGCTTGCGGATCCCCCTTTTTGCACCAGTCCATCACAGCTCACTTCTTCATCATCTCCAACTCCCCACATTAGTCTCCCGGCAACTCTTACGACAGGTTACTCTTGCCCACAACATCAAGTACATCTGCGCTCCCCTTCACCTGCAACAGCCTCACCTTGCACGACCAATCACAGAGCAGCCATATGCACTACGACACATGAGAACATACACATTGAGAACATCACACACATGCCGACACACCAACTCACCCATCAACCTGTCCCTTCACAATTTCAACCAACTACCTCCCGACCTGCGTGAAACAAATAGCAAGCATGCGTTTAAATCAATGGCGTCTGGCCTCATTCTATCATCCATATGCTCCTGTAGTAGCTCACACTGTACCCCATCGTAACCCCATCCCCCTGCGATGTGTTGGTTTCCTTACTTGCTAGACTGATTTTATATGATTCTGGACTGATTTGAATCATATCATCTTCCTTATTGGCCATGGGCCATCGTGGAAATAAAGAATAATAAAATAATAATAATGGATGAGGCGTACTGTTCAGCCATTGAACAAGGGTTTGCCATACCCAGTCCCCCAAGCCGGCAAGGCAGAGAAAGTAGGGAGCGAACAGTTGTCCCAGGTGGAGCATAATTATGGTGTTTTGTTTTTGGTTTTTTTGCAAAGAACACAAACCCGGCTCGAGACAAAAAAGAAAGAAAATAAGAACAAGAAAGATAACAGAGTTGCATGCAGGGAGAACGAAGAAACGACTAGAACACAGAAGTTGTTGGTTGACAGAACAAACAACTATTGAGTCGGGTCTGACTACTAGTATCCACTAGCGCAGCTGTGTAGGTGGGGCGATGTGGACTCCTCCGACCAAAGGTCTCGGTATCTTTGCACACAACGCGCACCAGGGGGGGGGGGGGGGGGGGGGTTAAAAAAAGAAAGAAAGAGTTAGGCCATCAGGTAGTATGCTAGTCTGTGGTGGACACGTCGACAGCAGTCCCACAAGTTTGCTCGAGGAGGTACTTGTACACTGCTACTTTGAAGCGTTGCAACGCTGCCTTGGATGGGGGAGCGTTCAGGATGGCAGAGGGTAGAGCATTCCATGTTGTGAGTAGGCCGAACGGGAAGGATCGGTGTGGGATGTCAGGACTTGTTGCGGGGAGGGGGTTTGACAACTGGAAGGCATGGGAGTGTTTCACTTGATGTTGGTGGCGGGTTCTGGGGCGGGCGAGCTCAGGGGCAGCAGGTGGCAGCATGTCTGTCAGCTGGGCTGGACCGGAAATGTAGTGCAGCTTGAACGGGTAGCACAGTCCCGAGACTTGCAGACGCACTGATGAGCTTGGGAGCATGGTCCCAGAGCCAATGCTGCGCATACACCGTTGCTGGATGCGGTCAAGCTTCGCGAGGTTGGACCGGGCTGCGCCTTGCCAGACTAGGGGAGCATATTCCATGGTTGGGCGGATGAAGCCTTGTATACGCTCAGGCGGCCGTTGCGGTCGAGTACTGGGCACACCTTTCCTGAAGAAGCCAAGGCGAAGGTGTCTGTATTATTTTGTTTCTGTGGAGCTCTCGGCCGGGGTTACAATGAAGCCTAGACTTTACTGTAGCCTACCTGTAGGCTAGGCTAGGGTCGGCAAAGCCGCCCTGCCTCACCCCCATTCAGCATGTCTCGTCGCTGGTGGGCTGCTTTGTGCCCTGGCGTGTAGCTTTGTATTAAAAAACATTCCGTGTACGTGTCGTTACTACGCAGGGTATTTTGATTAGCAATGCGTCCAGCAAGGAGATATTATCTCAGAGTCAACGACTGCCAACGACTTCCAAAAATACAATGGACTGCATGACCCCTTCGACCCTTCGCATAATGTGCATTGTAAAATCTGTACATCCATAATGTAGCCGGGCGGTACCACGGAATGTGTTGACGTTTCCAGTAGCCTACGGACATGCTCATAAACTGATGTAGCCTACAGGAAAAACTACTTAGTAGATCGATTGCTAGTAAACACATTCCGCGATGAAGTAGTACAGGACATGATAATGACATAATGTAGACTGTAGTGGACTCTTGGCACAGGACTTATGAAGACGATCTCGACCAATCAATAGCCGAGATTGCGAGAGATCTTTCGAAACATCTCATCGAGACTGAGACTGACACTGACTGTAGACTGTCAGTCTGTCGCAACAAATAACGCGAGGGGTCCACTGGAGATGCGATGTACCACGGATCACCTGTTATAAAGAATGGTTAGAATACAGAAGGAAACAGACTGAGAAGATTTCGGGAAGGAATTTTAGGTGGGTCAAGGGCGGGACAGCAGAACCAGCCTCGTGTGCGGAACAGTGCAAAGATGCAGAGGACTGTCCAAGCGTGGCTCCTGGTCCTGTGCTTGGGATACGTCCCGACGCTCGTTCTCGGTGAGTATCGGTAGTTGGACAATGTATTAGTATTGTTTATGTGAGAGGAAAGACGACTGGCTGTAAACGCTAGCCTAGATCCGGAATGAGGGCTTGTGGATCCGGGGATTTACTTCGAGTCTTGTGCCGGACGTGGACAATTAATAATACTGTGGTCATATGCTTTGAAGTACATGATTATAGTTCAATTCCAGAGTTTGATTCCAGAGCATTTCATACTGTCAGTGTCAACTAACTTCCGAATTCTTGGCTCTCAACATACCCATGGCTGGCATAATATTTACCAAAAGTCGAAAAGTGTGCACCAAATCACATTATTCTGAACTGTGCTGTTTTCTCTGTTCACTAAGAGAAAGACTGTCAGTGTGTCATAGCATGATGCACATTCCAGCGTACACAATCCGATTGTCGCAATATTACAACCTTAGTCTTCTGAAGAAGGGCTGAGGCTTCCTGCAGCTTCATCTGTGAAAAGAATTCGGGTGGACACACCCATTCCCATAGCGCTGCATATTCTTCTGAAATACATGTACACTCTGATCCATTGTATAGACTTGTATAAGCTACCAAATTTCGGCTTAACCGGAACCCCGCCCCTCTAGAGATCTCTAGGTTGTTATGGAACTTCAGTCACGCAGGCATGCACGCCAACTCGACCAACAGGCAGTACGAAAGTAATTAGTTGTTATTCAGGGAAGAACATTTCAGAGAGAGAGAGAGAAAACAAGTTGAGAGCAAAACGACAACATAAGAACTACTGATGAACTCATGGCAAAGAGTTCCCAAAAGGCAACTGAGTACAGCCAACTCAGATGCATATGGATTATCGGGCTAGAGCGATACTGAGTGCGGTGGTACGACTTCTACGCACAGCACTCAAGACTCGCAACAACGCACTATACCGGAACTAACGATAGCATGATAAGACTGAAAGCGTGCATACAGCAAGCAATGCAAAACAAAGGAAACGCGTCCATGCATCGTGTGCAGCAGACCACGATGATTGATGAAAGGGCAAACTGTCATACTGGGTGAAACACTACCCATGTAGGCTTACAGCATGATCAATGAATAGTGAAGCAATAGACAGATAGATAGGTTCAGTTATATATACATTACACCTCTCCCCTTGATGACATTAGTCACGGAACCGCTGAGGAGGACGGATTGCAGCCCGTCGACGAAGTCCGTAGGCTTGGTCAAGCTGCGGATCCATGTCGATTTGGATGATAGCAGGGATGTCATCACGATCATCAGCAGAGTCAACATCTGCATCTGCGGCAACGGGGTGAGGGTCGAGCTTGATCAGGTCGACGTTCACTACTTTCTCAGCATTGCGACCACGTACAGGTTCACACCGTCGAATCACCACAGTCGAGGGGGACAGAACACGAATGACTTGCCAACCAGGTTCATACATCGGTAGACGCTTCTGGTGACGGTCAGGACGGCGGAGAAGAACGTGATCACCAGTGTGATAGACAGGCACAGTCTCCTCTTGGATGCGATCAGCGTCGGATAACTCGGATTCCACGAGGTCGCGCAGTCGAGCACACCGAGCAGGGTGATCCCGAGACCAGTTGCTGCCGTCATTCTGCTGCGCTGCGCGGATGGTGGCAACAGCCATGGGCGGGGCCACGGCGGGATTAGTGGTATCACCAGCGACAGCACACATGTCAGACTTGGCACGGCAGAGCTTCAACCATGGAGTGGGTACTCTTGTCAGCCGATCAGCCAAGTTGCGTTCAGAGGGCACCCATTCGACCACGGCAGACAGGCCGGTGAGGCGGACAAGCTCGTCGATAGCTTGCAAGCGGCGTTGGACGAGCACATCGTACAGACCGCTGGTCTTGACATGGCGGATGTCATGCAGCAGGTTATACAGCCAACCATGTACGGTCTTGGAGTCGGTCAGGAGGCGCACACTCGTGAGGCCGTAGGCGGTGGCACGCTGAAGGCCACTCATCACCGAATCAAGTTCGGCGACATTGATGTGCGTACGATCATCCTTCGGATGCAGCCAGCACGCATCCTCAATAACATCTGCACCGCATTGCACCACAATTCCGGTGGCAATGTTGGATGCGTCGCACCATACTGACCATTGTGCGGCAGGTGGAGCGGACCAGGCACCGTGTACCGGATATTCTCCTTCAACGCGACCAGACAGCTCTTGGCAGAGGCTTACTACTTCTGGTGGTACCTTGGCGTCCCAGCCTCCAGGAGTGAGCGAGTCAGCCAATCTCTTCAGGTAGCTAGTGTATGGCCTGAGCCAGGAGCACACAGGATTGTGACCAAGCAGGCGACCACACCAGCGGAACACATCGCGCTTCATTGGGCTCGCTGGGCAGCAGAGGTCGACATCTGTGCGTCGTCGCCACTGCAGGACGTCGTTCGAGCTGTGAAGCTGGAGACCAAGGACGCGGGCTGATCGCAAGCATTCAGCAGGTTTGGTGGGTAGGCCAAACTTCACCATCTCGTCTTCCACCGTGGTGACGAGATCATCAGGCACAAACAAGTCGTCAACATAGCTGTCTACAGTAGGGTAGGGGCCAGTGACGTACTGTACGATCAGGCTCATCAGCTTTGGCGCAATCCCAAGGCCGAAGCCCATGCGCATCATGACGTACGGCTTACCCTTGTAAATGACGGTCTGGAACCTCGCCAGCGACGGATCAAGACGGACCTGCAGGTACGCCTTCCGTATATCCAGGATGTGAAAATTGTCACCAGCCTGTCGCCAGCTGCGCAGCTTCTCACCGCACACAGGGGTGTTGCACCCAGGGTGGTTGCGGATGAGCTGGTTCAGCCCACGGTAGTCCAGTACAGGGCGAACCGGTGTTGAGGCCTTGTGCTCTTGGCACTTCGCAATCAATGGGAGGATGGCGCCCGGTGGTCCGTGAACATCCGCATCGTGTGGTACCAGCCAGCCTTGCTGGATCCAGGCATCTACTTCAGCATTGAACTGCAGCTCCTGATCGGCGGTGAGTTTGGCGCGGGGATATTCGCCAATCCCTGACCCAATCGGTTCAGCAGGTGGCATGTCGTCCCTCCAGTGCCACTTCATGCTCCAGTAGCCGGCGGCTGCATTCCAGTGCACCTCACCATCATCAACACTTAGTGTGACATCGTCACCAGAGTGGTTGACCGTGACGTGGCGGGACAGCTTGGAGGTGCGAGCAGTACTGTCAGCTGGCTTAGGTAGCACATCAGCGGCAGCACTAACAGCAGCAGGCACAGCGGCACAGCCAAATGAGACGGACAACAGACAGCCGTCAGCGTATTGCAGGTGCATACCTCCAGCGCGGGTCACTACATCGTTGCCGACGACCATGTCGGTGTTCAGGACACTCAAGTCTGGGACAACCAGCACAGATACGGCAGTCAGTAGGTCCAAGTGCACAGGTCCGTCGAGTCGACGGAGGTTCAGCAGGACGCTACCCAGTATCTTCAGCGATTCACCGTTGAGGGCGAGCATGTTGTCCGGACACTGTTCCATGTAACGCAAGCCATTGCACTTCTGGAGTGCGGCACGGCTGATGAGAGAGCGCGTGCAACCAGTGTCCACCACAGAACTCAGGCGAGTCCACTCGTCGTGCTTTTCGCGGCAGGCATCGACGTACACTCGGATAAGGGAAGACGATGATGTAGTCAGGGCCAAACAGCAATCGGTTTTTCCTCCTGGCTGGTCAGAGACACCAGCAGACGCAGTGCCCCGTGTTCTCCTGGTCGGGCAGTCTCTCCGGATGTGGCCTAGCTCGTGACAATGATGGCAACGAACTCGGCTGCTCTTTGAGGAAGATGGGCCTGCTGACGAGCTCTGCGTGGGGGGTTCCCGGTTCCCAGCGCGGCAGGTCTTCTTGACATGCCCAGTTTTCCCGCACGTGTAACAATACAAAGACTTCGCTGGTTCGGTGGCAGCAGCGCCAATGGCATGCGATGATGCAGCGCTTTCAACCAGTTGCAAAGCGCGAACCTTCTCTGTCACGTCACTGACGGAGAGGGCCTGTCCAGCACCCTGCAAACGAATGTCTCGCGCGAACGTCGGTGGCAAGCCGCAAATCACCTGCTCCAAAAGGACCGGGTCCTTGTCGTCTGTAATCTTGTGGCCAGCTAAGCTCAAGTGGTGCTTCAGGTCAGCAACGTAGCCGTCCACAGCCTCATCAGGGCGTAGGCGACGGGACAGGAACTGCTGATAAGAATCAGCAGGTGCAGGCGCGAAGGCCTTTTCAAGTAGCGCTTTCACGGTTGCCTCCTTTTTCCTGTCCGCCTCCGCCATGGACATGAAGACTTTGAACGCCTGGCCATCTAGGACCAGGGGCAGGTGCTGCATCCGTTTTTCCTCCGTGTCCCACTTTTGGATATCCGCCAGGACACGGAACTTCGACCAAAACGTCTCCAGGTCATCTCCTTTTCCGCGGAACGTCCGCAGGAATCCATCGAGTTTCAGCGACATTATTTCCAAATCAAGGCCCACCACCAAGCGACAACACAGTCGCACCAGGTATCAGCGGGTTTCGGTACCAGATGTTATGGAACTTCAGTCACGCAGGCATGCACGCCAACTCGACCAACAGGCAGTACGAAAGTAATTAGTTGTTATTCAGGGAAGAACATTTCAGAGAGAGAGAGAGAAAACAAGTTGAGAGCAAAACGACAACATAAGAACTACTGATGAACTCATGGCAAAGAGTTCCCAAAAGGCAACTGAGTACAGCCAACTCAGATGCATATGGATTATCGGGCTAGAGCGATACTGAGTGCGGTGGTACGACTTCTACGCACAGCACTCAAGACTCGCAACAACGCACTATACCGGAACTAACGATAGCATGATAAGACTGAAAGCGTGCATACAGCAAGCAATGCAAAACAAAGGAAACGCGTCCATGCATCGTGTGCAGCAGACCACGATGATTGATGAAAGGGCAAACTGTCATACTGGGTGAAACACTACCCATGTAGGCTTACAGCATGATCAATGAATAGTGAAGCAATATACAGATAGATAGGTTCAGTTATATATACATTACAAGGTCCGCCTCCGAAAAGGTGAGGAATGCCTGGTGTTTTTTCTAAAATATTTTGGAAAGGACCTCTGGATGTGCAGTTCCTTGCACGGGGGGGGGGGGGGGGGCTTGAATTGCTTGCCAAAATTAGCTTAGCAAACTCATTTGTTCAGTCTGCATTTTTTTTGAAATGGATATCGTTAAAATATATGAGTTTGTGGCTTCGGCAGCCAAGGTCATACTCAAGCGGGATTCATATAAGCTTTTTTGCGATGCGACTGCCGCGAAACCGGGAAATCCCCAAATCGCAGCCATCTCGCACCCAACGCAACTGCCGCAACTGGGCCATCGCAGAAGTTGAGCTTGGCTCTTGGCTCAACTTTTGCGATCCGACAAGCGATTTGGCGTACGATGTTGACCTTTCCTACAGCAAAGTTGTACAAAGGTTCAAGAGTTGCCTATAAATTTGTACAAGTTGTACCAAACCGCGCGATTACCATGGTGATGTAACCACCTGCATTGAACTTCGCGCCAAATCAGCAAGGCGTTGTCGCATCGCTGACTTCTTCTGCGAATGGTATTTCGCGAGTTTGCATCACACGCGTCCGTCGCAGATCACGTCGCATCGCGTGTCGCATCGCAAAAAAGCTTCTGCGAATCCCGCTTTAGGCTTTCCCCAAATCGGCCTGTTTTTTATCGCCTATTCGGCTTTTTGCTCAGCTCCAAAATACATCAGATTCGGCTGCAAAATCCGCTGCAAAATTGGAATATATTGGAAAATCAGGTAAAGGAATTGCTGGCATATTGGCTTCAAAATTGGTGAGATATTGGAAACACAGCTCTTCTAGATGGAACTGGCCACAACTGTACGTTGTAGTGTAGTATTTTTACTAATAATGATCTTCATAATGGCTAATGTTTGTTTGAGAGGAGGTCAAAGGACACGAGTCACACGACCTCAACGCACTAGTACTACAAGTACTGAAGTAGAGAGCTCGAGCCGTGGTCATGCTTGCAGCAACATCATTCGCCCGTAAGCGCACTTTGCAACATTTGGTAGATTTTCGGCGATTTTCGAAGGAACCCTCCAAAATCGGCGAAAAGCTTAGCGATTTTCAATGAGTCTCGTTTTCTGCGAATTTTTCGGCCGATCGATTTGAGGAAAGCCTAGTCATACTAGAGAATTTGCTGATTTCAATGTTGGAGCTGGTACTTTTCCTGTCGACTGAATTGTCGCTTGACTAAAATAATTATAACTTCCATGGTACAGGATAAGCCCGTTGAACCTGAGATTAGGAAAACCTGCAAAAAAACACTGCTCCCTGCATAATGCATAGTGTTTTAGGAATTCACACTTAGTATAGTTGAGTTTGAGCGAGGTGCTGAAGTAAGTTGGTGCTCAGAGACACAGTCATCTAGTGCTCTCTAGGTCCAAATGTCATCAGGCATGAAAGCTTACAGAGGCGCTTCATTTCAGTGTGACCAACAACACCCTCGTCCTGGCATGTGTTCTTCAAGTACTACAAGTACAAACACAGTTACATGCACTGCAGACCCTTGGTCATTCAAAACGTCGTCACCTCCCCCCCCCCCCCTACCCCCCCCCCCCCCCCCAAGAACTCAATGGTTGCATGCCAGCTCTCACTACCTGACTGATTACTGATAGCTGAAATGGTTTGTAACATTATTTGTATTACGACTATGATTTACGCATGTCGTTGTATTTGGTTCTTGTCTGGTGGAGTCCAGTGTCTGATGTCATATATGGTCTAGGTGTACGCGCGAGTATGGTGTGATGTGTGACGTTTATGGTATGTGGTGCATGCAGGAGTACGCGTTGTCAGAGTGTGAGGATGTGCTTCCGTCTGTGTGAGAGTGACTGTCAAGTGAATGCAGTACATGCGCAGTGCTAGTTTGGTCTGGGAATGAGAGTCGTGTGTGATTCGTCCGTGGTCTGGTTGTCTTGGTCTTGGTCATGTGTTCTGTACGTATTAGTCCCTGATTGGTCGTCACGATTTGTCCTCGGTTTATTACTGCTTGTTCTTTGTTGATCCTCTGAGTCTTTTCCCGGGAGTCTTTCCCGTCGTCGTTTTCTGTCTAGTCTTTTCGTCTCTCTCTCCTCCTGCGCCCTCGTCATTTCTTGGTATAATATAAGAGTATTGAAGATACAATCAAGAGTTTGCGTTGTTGTGTGGCGAGGGCCAGGGGGAGAAGCATTTCCGTTACAGTGGCGCCCAACGTGGAGACTGGCTCGAACCTGATTCTACTTCTCCACAAGTAGTTTATGCTCGCCGTGGTCCTTTCGTTTCTCCTTTCAGTTTTGTCGACGTGTGGCGACTTTATTATTTTTATTTCGGCAAGCGGAACTGGTCGTTCATCAGGCTGGTTCAACCTCGCGCAGCACTACAAGCAAGCCTCTTTCCCGGTGAGTCGCTACCAGTAAAGGGTTTGGTGTTTGCAGTGTGCGTATATTTGCTGTCAGTGCGCGAGGGGATAGTTGTGTAACTGTTTGGTTTCCTGTGATGGTTTGTAGGATTCTCGTTTCGGATCCAGGTTGAATTTTTTTTTGTGAGCGTATGGTTTTGTAATTATTGTGTTTCGGCATATGGGTTTCTCTAGTTCGTTTGGGTGGGCGTCTGATCATGGTGAGCCACGGTCTGCCTGGTGGTCTGCAGGGATCCTGTGTTTTGTTGTATCGGTTTGCCTTGCGGGTGTTATGGGTTCCGTGTGTTGTTGGTTGGCCCTTGCGCGCCCCAGTCGGTCCCTGCCAGTTTTTTTTCTCGTTTTTTTGCGAAGCGGATGTAGTTCCGTGTTTTTCAGGTTCAATCCCTGTGGTTTTTTCAGGTTCAATCCCTGTGGTTTTTTTCAGGTTCAATCCCTGTGGTTTTTTCTCTATAATATTATTTGCGTAATGGCGGCCATAGTAATTTGTTTCGTCTATACTGTCCTCACTGTTGGTTTAACCCTACATGCCTGCTGTTCCTATGTTTACCATGTACTGATCGAATGCTCTTGTACCTGTGTTTCGTTTTTTGCCCTGCTTGGCGCACCATACCTGGAACAACAACGGACTGGCCAAGCCGTACAAGCTTGCCATACGGTCGTTCGTCAGGCTCACAACTACCCGACAACCAAGGGACCTACTGTTTCTTTTCTCTGATGTTTGTCATTTGTTCTGCCTGTTCTTTATTTTCCCTGAGTCGAGAGTCGAGGTCGACTCTCCCCAAAAGAGAGGGCTATGTAACATTATTTGTATTACGACTATGATTTACGCATGTCGTTGTATTTGGTTCTTGTCTGGTGGAGTCCAGTGTCTGATGTCATATATGGTCTAGGTGTACGCGCGAGTATGGTGTGATGTGTGACGTTTATGGTATGTGGTGCATGCAGGAGTACGCGTTGTCAGAGTGTGAGGATGTGCTTCCGTCTGTGTGAGAGTGACTGTCAAGTGAATGCAGTACATGCGCAGTGCTAGTTTGGTCTGGGAATGAGAGTCGTGTGTGATTCGTCCGTGGTCTGGTTGTCTTGGTCTTGGTCATGTGTTCTGTACGTATTAGTCCCTGATTGGTCGTCACGATTTGTCCTCGGTTTATTACTGCTTGTTCTTTGTTGATCCTCTGAGTCTTTTCCCGGGAGTCTTTCCCGTCGTCGTTTTCTGTCTAGTCTTTTCGTCTCTCTCTCCTCCTGCGCCCTCGTCATTTCTTGGTATAATATAAGAGTATTGAAGATACAATCAAGAGTTTGCGTTGTTGTGTGGCGAGGGCCAGGGGGAGAAGCATTTCCGTTACAGGTTGTCCCTATAAAGTTGGTTCAGTTGCTGACTGATTTGACACTTGACTGACACTGCTGTCCAGCTTTCTTATTGACACTGTCTGCAGGCAGTCAAGCGTCAGCCAAGTGTCAAATCAGCTGTGTGTGTGTGTGTGTGTGTGTGTGTGTGTGTGTGTGTGTGTGTGTGTATGTATGGGGGTATAGGGTTTAATTAACGTCAGCCCTACGACGACGGCTGCAATGGACAACAAAGAAAGTTATAGGCCAAAGAAAAATATGTGTTTTTCTTGCGCATACTTTTGTATGGTGCGATGTAATAGGCTGCTACAGAGGTAAGTGCACGGTTGAAATAGACAATAAAATAGCATTATTCAGCTTAACCTCTTCATTCAACAACTGCTTCTCCTCTGATGAGTTCCCCGTCAACTTTGTGGAACGAAACAAGACTTGTCAGGAGTAATACTACTTGCTTTCGTGGAGTGTGGCTGGTGAACCGTTCATGCTGTGGTCTGCAAGCGTCGTGTGGTCTCGTCGGGTCAAATGAAAAACCTATTACGATAGACAATAAAGCCAATGTTGCTGCCTTCCTGGATAACATTATCAACTACATGTAACTTATGTTGCATTGTTGCTGCTGTTGTTGTTGGTGTGGCTGGTGTTGTTGTTGTTGTTGCTTTTTCCAATTTACAATTGAAGAGGCAAAGCTGCCTTCTCACAGAGGTTTTGGCTATGCTACAGAATTCACAGTGGGAAAGTGGGAAAGTCAACAGTCCGTACTGCATTTGCTCATATCTTCAAAATTATTGTCTCCTCATTGACGCGGCTTGTGTAATCTTTTGCCCAATACCGTATTATCTCTAATATAGCACAGTCTCTAATATAGCACAGTCTCCAATAATAGCACGTCTCCAATAATAGAACACCTTGGGGCGGCATTCAAAAAATAAAGTGCTCAGTCTCCATTATAAGCACACTGTGTAAATTCATTATCTGTACCGGTGACAAAACCCTGAAATGTGTGTGTCTGACATGAATTTGGCATTGCAACAAGCCTCTGAAATGAGGTTGAAATAATAACGGAACAGTCTCCAATAAAGGAACGTCTCCAATAATAGCACGGGGCGGAGGTACATTGAAAAAATAAAGGACCGTGCTTATAGTAGAGATAATACGGTATCAGCCTTTCCCACTCAATGGTGTTATTATACGGTTTTCAGGTAGTTTAAACCAAAATTAATACGTCCATGGTGTTTAGTGTTTACTGAACCGCTGTGTCATTTCTTTTGCATTGCTATCCCCACGGAACTAGGGCAAAACTGTTCACAAGCAAGGACTCTTTGTGAATGTGTTGCTGAAGACCAGGAGTGCACTTGGTGTCCGACTAGTCGGGTGAGATATGGCACTCTAACACTCGATGTATACGGACAAAACATGACAGAACAACTGTTGAAGATACAATGTAGATGTGTAGAGTATTAGTGGTTTGCAATTGCCTAGAGCACAAATGCCTTTATAAAATATACTGAACTCTGCATTTCTCTTCTTTTTCTCCATGAAAATATCGCTTCCGCATATGTACTTGATAAGTTTACACTATTTGGTGAAAATAATAATTATTTAAAATTGTACATCTGAGCCAGAGAAACGTAGTATCTTGCGCGACATTGTCTTTTCACTACTTTCTTCTTCTTGTTGCCGCTGAACTGTATTGTCTCAGTTATTGTAGATTGGCGGTTTCAGTCTCTCAGTTTCCTTTGCAAACAAATATTTCCGAAGCGGTAACATATCTCAGTCCAATACTAGCCTAGTGGCGGTACTTCTGGAGTAGCGATCCAGCGTAATTTGGTAATGTCCCCCGTTTCTGTCTGATCTGCTCCAGGTATCGTGGCTGATGGCAGGGTGTGTATCAAAACAGGAGGCATATAGTCTAGGCTTCCACAATTGTACCCGAGAGGTGACCAGCCCCATTCAAGTAAGATCTGCAATCACCTAAGCATGAATTCTCACACTGGAGCGGGTGACCATTCATTTCCAATTTCTCAACTGTGACCTCTGAACAGATAGGTGTAGCTGTTCTTGGCTCCCATCAGTGCAGGTAACACTGTGACTAACTGAGTACTGCAGTGCAGGTTATAGTGACTAACTGAGCCAATTGCAATGAAGTCTACTGAATGGCAAAGCGTGACCCTAAAATTGGATGAAAATCAGAGTGCGCTAACTGTACTCGTACAGACCATCCCGTTTTCATGCATTCTGGCTACTGTGATCTCAGAAAGCCTCTGGCAATGCAATGTATTTTGGGGCTATTAAGTTATTTAAGGAGTGTGGTCAAACTTGAAACTTCCAGAACAGTGCTCATGAGACTACTGGTTCATAATTAGTCCAATGAAACAGGCCTACCATCCACCTGATCATACTGCTGGTTCATAATTAGTCCAATGAAACAGTGCTGATGATACTACTGGTTCATAATTAGTCCAATGAAACAGGCCTACCATCCACCTGATTTTGATTAAAGCCTTTTTCCTCAACTATCAAGCATTACTTAAAATATGAACCTTAGTTTGCAGTCCTCGGCGAACTTCATCCAAACGTTGACACGGCCTGAAATCTCCATACACTTCTCTTTCCCGGCCTAAGTTTCAACTGTATGGCTGACGGAATTGCTGGTGTGTTCTGCACAGTCCGCACCGCAGTGCTCATCAAGGGGGGACTATGAGTGTGGACTCTGCGAGTGTCCGGCTGCATAGTAAGCTTCATAAATGTATTCTGTCTACTATACTCACACAAGTTATATGCATGCCTAGATTATCATCTTGGGCACCCTGTAAGAAGACCTTAGGGTCTGTTGGGAATGCCCAAGTAAAATAATAAAATACAATACAATTATTGATTGTCGTCGAGGGGTGGGTTCAAGTGAGAATTCAATTTGAGTCGAATCATGGCTGGTCTACGCTGACCGTAAACCACCTGGGTGCCAAAAATGCTGAAAGGAGAGAGAGAGGTTTCCAAAAAGCCTCGTACTTGAAATAGGATAAGAACACAGGGAAAGGAAGTGAAACATTCACAACCAATTGACCAGGTGAGAATCTGTCACCACACTGACACTCTTCACCTACTTTTCACCCTCACCTGGTCAGTTGGTTGTCAGTGTTTCACTTCCTTTCCCCTGTGTTCCTATCTTTGTTTCTTTTTGGTTTACACCTGCATATGTTTAGTGCTCATTATCACTGTTTGTGTTTGGCAATTGTGCACTTTCTCTGCATAATTATATTCTGTTCCTCTTCCCCAATTTTTAATTGTAATGTATTCCGAGCCAACTGGCGAATATCACAAGAAAACTTTCTTGGAAATAGTTAACGGGCCGACCTCGCTTACATGTGTGTATAATTATAGTCATGAGTGCGCAGTTGATATTGAATGGAAGTAGAAATCATTGATGAAAAACCTGTAAACCTGTAAACCTTTTTGAAATATTAAGGTCTGGTCATGGTCGGACAGGCTTAGTGCAACTGTCTTGGTTTGGCATGCTTTCTAAACTCAGCCTTCTAACTTTTAAAGCGGGCATTATACCTGTCCTTGCACCATCTCAAAAATAGAGAATCTCTTTCAAATCAAGAGCTCATTCTGTATGTATAAACGCAAAATTCTTCATGGTGTTTTTTCTGCGGTTGCATACACCAGCCGTGGACGTCATTGCCAATGCAATGCCTCGCTAATCGACCCGTCTTCCGCACGCCGCGAGTGCAGGTACGACGACAAAATCAATATTAATTTTAATTTTAATTTTAGTATTCCTGTTTCATATGGTGGGAGATAGACACCTGGCAGTATGGCGGTAAATACACGCCTGCCCACACATGCTCTCTAGCCTGCAAAGTTAATCTGGCACACAGCTTTCCTTCTCACCACCACCACCACCAGTTTGCGCCTGGCGCCTAGTCGATGCATGGTTAGTGATACCCGACATAGCAGGCTGGTACATCAGGTAGCGCATGTCACAGCAACTACATGTACATTGCTCGATTGCGACGCACGTTTCGTCCCTGCTGGACTCGTCAGGCAACTTCAGTATTGCTGTCGTAATTAATTGATGCACACATGTTACATCTAACGTACACATATTACACAATTTGTATTATTAATATATGGTACAAGTACACAATCATGATACATTCCAAAAGTGTTCAGATATTACATATGGGGCCATCCGTAAATATAGATATTTATTTAGAAACGAAAACTAGTCGTTTAGGGGGGGGGGGGGGGAGGGGGTTGAGCGCCTGTCCGTTTCTCGAAAATAGATACATTTTGCATGTGTGAGCATGTCCAGAAAAAAGACCAAAAATATCGATACTATGCACCATCTGTATGTGTTCGTTTCTCAGGGAGGGGGAGGGGGGTTGAAGAGAAACGATTAGTTTTCGTTTCTAAATGAAAAATTGTGAACCTAACATAACCAGTGGGTATGCAGCAGCATTCGGTCGTTGAAAGTTCACCACCACCATTGCACTCTGTGGCCGACCACGTACATACATACACTGCTTGCTGATGTTTCTTTGATTTCAATACCTTTTAATATTATAAGGTAGCCTGGGCCTATATCACGAAAAAATATAATTATGAGGTCAAAACCACTTTCCGTCCGATTTTGTTCAACTTTTCAGGGTTGAAGCATCATGAGGGCAAGTTGTTAATCCCAATTTTGTGCTTGTGGGTAAAGAATTCTTCCCTCTATTTGGGGCCTGTGAAAGCCACACCCACACGTTCGCATTTATGTCACAAAATAAGAGAAAACTACTTTTAATAGGAGTTTGCTTTTCAGTTGTGCCTTTTAAGGCAGGCTTGTACCTAACAATGATATAAGTGCATTTCAATTCTTTTTCTGGAATTCAGGACCACTATAATCACACACTGTTGAAGCAAATCCACTGGAATCAATTACGAGAAACGATCATTTCTTCGCATATTTCTGTGAAAAGCGGGTAAATGAGTTCAATGACCTAACATAATTTTGACATCACTTTATGATACTGACATAGTGCGATGCAACTAGCAAGAAAAACTCAATCGTTTTCGGGCCAATTTTGCAAAATTTAAATTTCAAAACATTTTGGCACCATATCGAATCGAGGTTCGGAATACCAGTTTCATCTCCTCACACAGAAGCCTGTATTTTCAGCCGGCGTATTTTTGCTGATAAATCTACCCTGAAAGTCATGTTCTGATACTATGAGAACTACTGACATGATTACATGAAGCAACAGACGAAGGTAGGAAGCATTTACGTTGTCATCAATGCAAACCTGTCTCAATCTTAGAGCCTTGTTTGGGCTACTTCGAGGGGCCATTACCCCTCCCGGAAGTGCCCCAAAAAAAGTCACGGTTCGCGTCAGACTCGGCCAGAGGCCAAGTTTTCCGCATCCATAGGAACGCTATCACCCTACAAGGATCAAGGCACAGATGCAGCTCCTATAGCGGTGGGAGGTGAGTAGATCAGCTCCCCAGCAAGTGGTCAAAGACCGAAAATCCTGCATCCATGTTACCCTCGTGCCAGGCCACGAGTTCCCAATTAACTGTGGGTCGCTGCACGGCTGGAAAAATCCTTCCGCTTCCAAGCAGGACTTGAACTTGGTACCCTCCGTTTCTCAATCATGGTCTTAGACCATCCCACTATGCCTGCCTGCGGAGTGGCCAATTACATACCCTAATAATTACCCAATGCTGTATACAGCAAGCTAATAAATCTATTGATTTTCTCATTCTGGATACCCCTAGCATTGCAAAAAAAAGAAAGAAGTGTCAAACAGGTGAGTTTCGGAAAACGTATTTCGGCATGAGCTACCTTAAAACACCTTGTTTTCACGCTTTGAGTATCAAGCGCACGCTCATTAGCGCGCCATCTCTTATTTCAAAAATCAGTATAAAATCAGTGATTATTTCTTTTCCAGTTATTCAACAACTCAACCTTCTCTGATGACGTCTTAGAACCCGAACAGTTGTCCGACGGAATACAATATCAATGCCCGAAGGAACCTCTTGTTGCTGTTAGGGGCAAGTGAGTGTATGTACAAGGTGGGCCACAGAGCGCAATGGTGGTGGTGTCGGAATGTCAACGCAGAAGCTTACATAATCGCATGCAGTATTCACTGCTCTGGAAATTGATATTTTGGTCCAATGCAGAAGTAAAGGAGGTGTGTGCCGCTCCCTTTGTGTGGGAGTTCGCACCTTTTTCCTGCTGACTTGGTCTTTCACTCGGCCAACTCACAACTGCATTGATCTGAATCTTCGCCTTGGTCCTTGAGCCACGGGGTAGTGGCGCTGGTAGGATGTGGAAAATTCAGCCAGTGATTGCGTCTCATGGGAGGGGTGTGAAATTGCAATTAATTTATCTCACCACTACTATCCAGCTGAGTACACAAAAAATGTCCAATGAACCTCCCCCACGGCGAACCTGCATGAACACAGCAAACTTCACTCAATACACACGGTGCTTAGGGGATGCTTCCCTTATGAATTGAGCCTGATAAGGCTAATAAAAGTGAACTTGATTTGTGCTTCAGAAGCACTACAATGTATAGGTTAGCACTCAAGCAGCCCAACCATCAACAGGGATATTAATAATGATGCTCTACTTTCAGTACGACAAACACCTCATAAACTCAGAGAGTAGCATGAGTCAGAATCGTCCATTCAGGTGCAAAACAAGTGCTTAGGACTGCTGGCCACTCACAGCATTGTTGCCTGTATAAACCAGTTCGTAGCAAGTCCGCGGACTGATGACGGTTCGGATTTCCCCAAAACACTGTGTATTAAGGAAGAAGATGCTTTGTTGCAGGTTTGCCGAATGGAAGGTTTGATAGACTTCTCGTGTGCTCTGCTGGACAGCAGTTGTGCTTCAGTCAAGTTTCGAATCAAATCGCCAGGAAAACATAAGCTCTTTTAGTAAAGTGTTACATACACTTCCTCCGCTGTCCCTGAAGTCGCTACTACTAGTTGCAAGTATTTTTTAAAGAAAATCAGAATCTGCGGTATCAACAAATAATACGGAACCCCAAGTAGGATGTCAGCCTGCAATAATATGTGTGATGATGTACTTGATACACGAAGCTCTGGCTTTGCCCGATGTTTGTGCCTTTTTCATCATGTTGTATACCCTTGTCTGTAGTAAGGTAGTAAGCGAGAACTGAGTGCGCACTACCGTAATATGTGCTGTTCGTTGATAGGTAGTATCTGCATCCTTAATAGGTGCTGTTCGTTGATAGGTATCTAATATGTGCTATTCGTTGATAGGTAGGGGGTGCATCCTTCTTCTACTGTCTGGATGTGCATATTGTTCTTTAACGTCCTCCAGGCCAAGTAGCGATGTCACGTTCAGCACTCCAGCCTGCAGTGGTCAGGGACTATGCGCCGTGACAGACACTGGCTGCCAGCTTGCCTGCGTATCGTGTACACCGGGTTGGCATGGTCGCTTCTGCCAGTGCGCTGACTCGCTATGCCGGGCAGCCGATAATGGTCTTCCCTGCGGAGGTCAGTACAAATGAGGGGTTTCAAACTAAACATACCGTGCGCGGACTGGGGATTTACCCTGGCTTCGTGGCACTGACTTGCTGCTGAGTGGCAAGATGCCCAGACTCAGCGGAGGACGTTCCGGTTTGTTGTACCTCTGAGTGTTCATGCCGCTAGGCAATCATCAGACAACAGACAACAGAGAACTGATGACTGTTGTCTGTTGTCTGACGATTGCCTCGCGGCATGAAACTTGGAGTTACACCAACCCGAACGTCCTCCGCTGAGCCTGCTATGAAAATCGAGTAAGGTACTTCAGTGTTTGGAGCCGGCTGTTGTTCTCCCACCAGCTTATTCATACTGCAATTAGTATTAATTTGTCGGCGGTGACGAGGAGTTGTTACACTGTTGCTTGTGCCGATGGCTCCAAGAAGAACAGTCACATCAGTGTCTACCAATTTACATCGGGGGGGGGGGGGGGATACTGCACAAGGCATGTGATGACACGTGCAGGCAGGCAGTTTGGTTCCGGAAGTTGAAATTGTGTAGGTCAAAACTTAAAGTAATATGTTAGTTAAACATGTGTCAAAGGGACGTACAGTACAGTATTGAAGTGCATTTCGGAGAGTCACACATGCAGTCAGCCATCCTCCATGTGCCAGCCCTGGTCTTTCTCGAACCAAGATCAAACTTTTGGAGGCGGTTGCTTTGGAATTCAGAACCACCCCATCCCTCTTGGCTTAGTCCCTGAAACTGCTGAAAGGGTCTTCCAAACAGCGTTGTGTGTAGACTTGAACTGTGTGTTGTGCCATTCCCCTGTGCAGCTATGCTAGCTAGCTAGGTTTCAAATATGCATCAACTTCGAAAAGCACATTTTTCTCACTGCGGCTGTGTACAATGCACCCGTACCACGAAGGTGCCTGCTTGCTTCCTGCAGATATTGTACAAGAGCGTCTTATTTTCTTCTTGCGCATCAGGCCATCGCCAGGGCCGGTGTTGTTGTGATTCAGGCACGTGTGGTGATTGTAGGTGTCTTTGCTTCCCTGCGTACAATCTCGACACCACATGCAACCTATGCGACACATCTCTGGATTCATGTCGCACATCTCCGGTTAGTGATAATGCTTTTAATTTTAAAAGTAACACTCCGCTGTCAAAAAGTGACTGGCATTTCTCAAGTGGTTGCATGTGAAGTCAGTTGGCTACTCGGTATAATCTCTTTATGCAGGTCACAACCTCAATTAGCCGTGAAGCCACTCCTGTGAGTGTTGCAGGCTTCGTAGAAACAGTTTAGTGATGTGAGAAGCAGTGGGACAGCTGCGAAGCCGGAAATCCCTTATAGCACCCGCTGTGCAGCGCACACAGCAACCGCAGCGGGCCATTGCATGAGTTGACCTTGGCTCAACTTTCCCGATGTGATGTATGATACGAAACTTGCTTTGCTGCAAAGGTTGTACGCTAGATTCAAGTGGGGTTTTCTCAGGGTATGCAGTACTGTAGCAACGTCATCTCTCACACAATACACACCAATACCCAAAATGGTCGCTCGGCTGCAATTCTTCGTAACGAAATATAAAGTATAACTCTATCTTATGCCCGGGCTGGCCTCTCTTTAGGGTAGCTCGGTAGGAAATCAAAAACTCGTCTTCTGCGCATCTTTCTGCGCAGGTCACCTAGCGCGCGGCCTAGCGCCTGGCCGGGGCTGGCCCGAGATCCGCGTGCACGCGCTGCACTAGCTGGCCGTGCGCACGTGCGCGTGCGCATGCAGTGTACAGTGTAGACAGTGCATGTAGATCTACGACTGGCTGCATGCACTAGCTGGTGTAGATGTACGACTGGCTGCATGCACTAGCTGGCCGTGTTGTTGACTGAGATCGTTGTTTTCTTTGTTTGTTCGATCTGGCTCACACCCAGCAGCAGCTTATGCCGGAGCATTTCCGTCAGGTCCTTTCTCTTTTCATACACGCGTTAGATTAGTTAGTGTCGCGACATGTGAAGACGGGGCTGCATAGCCATGCAGCTTCAAGTGGAGCGCAGACTGTGGCAGTCGATCTGTGAAGCGCGTGGGATCGAAGGGGAAGGCGAATCTCCGACGAGGCAACCCGGCACTGGTGAGTGCCCGTCTTGAATTTTTGGTTTGTTTTCGTCTGGGACTTTTGAGGTGCATCGCGATACAATTAGCTTACGGATGCCTGATGTTTTCCTGCGTCTCCAAGCTGATGTTGTCTTCTCCTTCTGCTACTGCGTCAGCTGCCTGTGGGAGTTCTGTTCTCCAGCAGACAGGGGACTCAATCCGAACCATAAACGAGCACTTGGAAACGGCTCGTGAAGAGCTTGGCGATCCCGTTTTGCTGCCCGTGACGAGTGGAGAGTATGGCAATGAAACGCAGGGTGAAATAGTTACCACTGGTGAAGAGTGTAAGACCGGCGTTGATTTAGCGAAAAGAGGTAAGTGTTGTCGTGTTTGTATCAGCTCTTCAGATAAGAGGAAAATACTCTACTCTGAGATACTCCGCTCCAAGATATTTGAACAGTCGTTGACGGTTCATGTCAGTATAACGACAGGGCAGAATGTACCAGCATCTAAATCTCGTCAGTGGTTGAAGTTTTAGATTCAATACTATACCTGTGCACACAAATGGGCACTCGCACACGTGAAGGCACCATTGCCTGTTTGTTTGAAGACTAAAAATAAATGCACAACAACAACGTCTGCACATGCACAAGCATGCATGCACACACACCTTGAACCTTGAACCTTGAACGCCCATTGCCGTAGCAATGATAGCGATGGCTTCCTCACGCTGAGGCTCTAAACTCGAAATCTGCAGTATGGCGCATGCCGCTTGAGGTCACCAGGACGACGGAACACTCTGTCACAGCGGTAGTTGGGGCACGGGATGTCTGGGGCTTCCTTCTCGACCCTCTGTCGACAACACTGAAACCAGGTGGATCTCTCCTGCGCTGTGTCATACCAGTCCGCTTCAGGTAAACCGATGACAGCAAAGTCCGAGGACACAACATCCCGCCAGCGCTTCTTGGGACCATGTTGCGGGCGTTTGCAGGGCAGTTCGCCGAACAGCATCTGCTTACACACATACACACACACACACACACACACACACACACACACACACACACACACACACACACACACACACACACACACACACACACACACCTCTGGACCTTTGGAAAGCCCATCGCCGAAGGCGATGATAGCTACTCAGTATTAGGCGAGGCAGTAGTTCTTGTGTCGGGATAAATCATTCGGACGGCGAAAGTCGCGGCCGCAGACACAGACGAACACTCTTGGTTGGGGCTGGCTTGGTTGCTTCCAACGGCTACGCTCGCGCCAGTCCCTCAGGTCCTGAGCAAGGTGGTACCATTGCGCCTCCGGGATACCGGTCGCACGCAGGTCTGAAGCTGCCACATCTCTTCAACGACACTTGGGTCCATGGCGGGGCTGCGTGTTAGTGCCCTCCGCAAACAGGATCTGCTTTGGCAACCTGGTGTCGTCCATCCTTGCGAGGTGACCCCACCCCCCCCCCCCCCACACACACATACACACACACACACACACACACCTGTGCGCACGCCCACACCCGCGCACACACATGCATACACACACACACACACACACATATGCGCATGTGCACGCGCGTGCGCATGCACACATACACACACACACACATCTTCACCAATTTGTAGGAGCCAGACCATTGTTTTGATGAGAAGTCATCGGTGCCTGTTCATGTGATGAAGTAAAATAAAATACTAGTTTGAAGTTTGCCTTTATTTGAAAACAAACTGGGTGTCGGAAACTGGGTGTTGCACGGGATGAAGAATTTGAAGAGCGTAATCAAATAAAGCAATGGTGACAAATCCAGTCCAGTAAATAGGAAAAATCAAACCAAATAAATAGGAAATCCAATTTGAAAAGAAAAGAATCAAGTCAACTAGGGAATACCAAAACAATGAGCAAACCCGTATCCGCAAACGCCATCCAAGCAGCACCGTTAGCCCAGCTCATCCAACAACCCAGGCAGGCTGCCGGGGCTTTTCTGGAGTCTTTTGGAAAGTGACTTGAATCTTGTAAAGTTATCTCCTTGTCTTCGCTTTCTGTCCTGAGATTGAGTTTCTTTATATCTGTCTATTGATCAATCTATTATTCATCCATCTATCACTCCCGCGAACTGATTTTATACATCAGTCGGTAGTGTCTCTGTGTTCACTCATCTGTCAAGCTGTTTTTTTTTCTTTTGTGCCAGGTGTACATCATTCTATATCCAATCCATTGTTCATGATGCTTGATGACCAACTTCCCGTGAACAGCTGTTCTATTAGTACCAACTTGATTATGATCACCAATGGAACCTTTGACTCTCTATCAAGTTTTTGCATGAAAAACAGTGTCTTGGAGGCAAAATACACATGTCGTGTGTAATTTTGAAACCCGCCCGCAAAAGCTATTTTCAGCTGTTTTTTTTCTTTTGTGCCAGGTGTACATCATCTGTATCCAATCCATTGTTCATACTTGGTGACCAGCTCCCTGTGAACAGCTGTTCTATCAGTACCAACTTGATAACCGCAAGGGAGCGTTCTTGGACCCATTCTCTTTGTGTTGTACACCCGTAATCTGCACACAGCACTTCCTGCAACTGTCAATCACCAAGAATTTGCTGACGATATAATCCTTGATTTCTCCCATCCTGACTTAGATTTTGTTGGCAGAACTCTGACGAGAGCAGTAACTGATATCTCCCGATGGCTTGAAGACATCGGCCTCGTAATGAATGCCAGCAATACTCAGGTCATGTTCGTTCAGCCTCGTGGCGCAGCCATTGCCACGCCCGATGTTTTCTGCAACAACGAGCAACTGGAGGTGACGGCCACCGCAAAATACCTTGGTGTGATCGTCGACGACCAATTGTCATGGAGGCCACATGTCGACTATGTGTCACGTAGAACTGCACAAACCATAGGGCAATTGTGGAGACACGGGCGTTCACTAACGCTTAGAGCTCGACGGTCGTGGTACACCAGTATGGTAAACAGCCAGCTGTGTTATGCTTCAGCAGCATTCTACCCAAGCCTCACAGCTCAGCTTCTCGACCGTTTGGGGAAGATCAGCAAGGCTGGAGTCAGAGCTGTGTTTCAGCTCCCTCGTCAAACACCGACCGCACCTCTTATTTCTAGATTAAATATTTCCCCACTGATCCACCATTTTAAGCTCAAGATTGTTGTTTTTGTCCATAGATGTCTTGCCTCCAATGCAAGCATGCTATTTTCGCCTTTCTTTCTGTTGATCGCTGAACCTGGTCTTGAGCAAAGCACACTCCGTGTTACACGTGGCCAGGTCTCACGTCTTCTCCAAATTCCATTCGTTCGTGGACCAGCATCTCGAGCGTCCATGCAATTCGTGGGCAGCGTGTATTGGAACAGGCTTCCGGCAAATATTCGTTGCCATGAAGATATTCTGGGTTTCAAAGCCCTGCTGTGCCCAGATGTTCTTGACACGCTTTCTCTGTCTTGACTCATTCGTCAGACATGTGCATTTTGATCTTTTGGTTTGGTCTCTAATCGACAAACTGACTTTTCTCCTCAAATACCTCAACTTCTCTATTTCTATTTCATACATCTGCTTCGTTTATTCCTTACTCTTTTCTTTCTATCTTTTTCTTTTCTTTCCCTTGTCATTTATTATCACTGTCACTCACATACAAATACCGTCATAAAATATAAAACACAAGATTTTCTCATCTTTTTCTATTTCTTGTTTTTCATTAGCTTTAGCATGTTCATTCACATTCTTCATCATCTGTGAGAACTAGACCTGGTCTAGTGAGAAGGCATTCTACTGCCTGTAATTCTGGTGAAGTAAAATAAAGTAACAACAACAACAACAACAACAACAACAACAACAACCAATGGAACCTCTATCAAGTTTTGCATGAAAATCAGAGTCTTAGAGGCAAAATACACATGTCCGATATATGAAAGTGGTCCATCATCAGCAACATATTGCCCAATTACCCCCCCCCCCCCAAAAAAAAACTTTTGTTTTTCCAGCTCAGTAAGGGTCTGTAAACAAATTTTCCCCCTCCTCAGTCACACAAGTACACGTCACTGGCACACAATCACCAGGACAGCCGAGGCTTGGAGATAAATTTTGCTACGTGTTGATAAAGCTAAATTAAAAGAGAGAATGACCAAAAAGACTGAACTACTCCGAACGAGAAACTCCCAGTCACCAGCAAGAAGTAAAAAAGGCAACAACGCAGGGGCGTACGCCGCTCGCCTCCAGGAGTGGTTCCCATGCCAACTGATGCATCAACATTCCACACAATTGAAGTGCTGTTTTTCGTATCCCACAGAGTTTCTGCATATTCTCCTCAGACTGGGTGAAATTGACATCCACAAGCTGCTGGACGATGATGTCATTGTTACGCATTTATGATTTTAAAGGACAGAATTTTTCCCCGTTTTATGGATGTTTTGTTCAACATGACGATTGCATGCGGTCTTGAAAGCTGCCTAAGTTTCGAATCATCTGGAGCAAACATCACACAGGGCAAGCAGAAGCCACCATTGCATGCCTGTCAAAAGACTACCCAGGGTAACCCCTCTAACAAGGATAGTTGAAAGTGGCGCTGTTTGCCATCCGTCTGGACACGCACAGGAAACGAAATCCTTCGCCTTCGGTGGCGCACAATGATTGTCGATGACGGAAATCTTTTCCGTGTCCAGCAAATTTCGGGGGACTGGATTCCGCTGTGGACGTCGACTTTCAGAATATCCCGTCCAACACACTCCCATGTCATTGAAGTTAGTTTTGGATGATCCAGCAGCTTCCAACAACGGTCGCTCTACAGCTTCGCCGACGATTTCTTCCTCAACGCTGCTCGTTGGATGCAGACTTCGCTTGCAAGTCAGGTGCGTCTGCATTCTCATCTATCGCTTGACCTTCGCCACTAGCACTGGCTACACGCTTTGTCTGCAGCTCAAAAGAGCTCTGAATAGAGCGCTGGCCCTCTGGATGTCGGCGCTTCATTTTTTTTCTTTTCCGCAAAGCGAAAGCATTGTCAAAACACGACCATTACTTTGTCAAAACAAACTCCAAAGGAAAATTTGACTCTGAGATCGAGGAATCCGGCGATGTAACTGCAGTAGAGACTTTGTTGAACCCAGTTCAGTACGCTGTGTCCCAGCACTACTTTCACACCAGGGCTAGTCACCGTCCTCGATCGGACCGTCAGGCGGATGCCAGGCATGCACTTGCACTGTGAGCGCTGGGCCTGGATCAACAAATTCTCTGTACCCACATGGAATTTTTTTACTGGTTCCCGGGCATCCCGGGAACCGCCCTATGTACGCCCCTGCAACGCATAGTGTGCAACATTACGTGCAGGCGCGATCAAAAGGTCAAGGGTACATGTACTACGCCTGGACCTAGCACATCGCATACCGCACCTACCAATACATCAGCTTCGGTACGGTACAGCAGAAAGTTATGAATGCAGCGGAAGCGAACGCACCCGACATGACCTCGCAAGCCAGCACTGGCAGCAGACATGACAGGTGTAGCACCGAACAATCAGGAACCAAACCCACACTATACATCATGACACGCGCACCCAAGCACTGCACTACGCATGGGACAGAAGAGTAATACATGCGCGGCTAGATGGCTGGTGCCAACACAACACTAGGACAAAGAAAAGAACCATAATGAATGCATTACTCTAGCGCAGAGAAGAGACTTATAGCCACTGGCTTGGTCTATGATAATGCATGCGTGACAATAGTTCATTGGAACAGCCAGTCACTAGACCTACACAGAATAGGAGCTACAAACAGTTACATACATTGTACATGCAGCAGCATAATTATTACTCAACAGGTCTGACTTGATCATAAAGAAGAAAAACATTAACATCTTCGGACCAATTTTGAAATTTCATCCTCTTTGTGACAAATTTGACGAAAATTTCGCAACCCGCAAGAACTTTTGAAACTGAATAGTTGAATTCAAGGCTAGTAGAACTTCCCCAATGCTCCAGTTTTGTTCCAGGGACATCCCTGGACGAAGCAGAGCATCAAGAAAGACTCAATAAAGCATTCTAATGAAAATATGTCCTGAAGAGATGTGTGCTAAAAACTCCGCAAAATCGCAAAATCGTATATTTTCTAGGCACCGTACGGCAAGATTTAGCCCAATTACCCCCTCCCCCCCCCCCAAGGAATGTTTTTTTTTCACTCAGTACACATGTAGGAAGGTGTAGCAAAAGTAAAACTGGACAATCTTCGGACCAAGTTTTTCCTATTCAGCTACCTAAAGGGGAACTGTCACCAAAAATTTTCTTTGTCTTATCTTGTACTTCTTTGGCTCCTGATCACGATGGTGTTATCCGTTTTTCTCTGCGATGGCTGGAAGTGGGTGAAAACGTGAAAAGTAGGTGCCCAAAATTGTCCCGAAGTACCGAGTGACGTCACGCAGGACTTGACCTCCACGCGTACATTCGTCGTCAAAAACGAAGTCCAGCCCGTGTGCTGGTCGATCGAGCTAGCTGTTCTAATGTACGGTGCACGTGTGCCTTTTGAACTGTAACACAGATGGGTACGTCGTACCGAAGGAGAATGACAAAGAGGCAGACCCACGTGCAGCTACACAGCCAAATCAAAATAAAAAGCAGCTGAGCTTTCACCTTTTTGACTTCTTCCGCGAGGATGTAAGTTTTATTTTGTGAGCACGGAAGTACGTTGTTGTCTTGAACTTTTCGTGTGAGGAACAACACGATGATGAGTGCGTATGCAGAAAACAGTACTCCTCCGGTCGGCGATAACACCACCAACCCGAGCCCCAAAGGAACGCGATGTAGGTACGTGAAGGCGATTCATCTGGCGATGTTGCTGAAGATGCAGATGACAAACTCTGATGTCTTTCATTTCAGAGCCGGGTGGACAACACCGCCACCTTCGATACAACGACATAATTTTCAAGTACGAGGTATGTGTGTCACACTAAACAGCAAACAAACATCCTTCGACTCCTTCGTAATCACAAATAAAACAAAGAGCTGGAGCTTCGTGGAGGAAGTACCAGTGCGACAAACTGCTGTAGACTTTTGTTTATTTTGTCCCTTTTTGGCGTTCTCATTGTGTACAACGTACACATCGAGTGTCCGAGTTCAGAAGGCAAGCGTGCACCGTACATCGAACAGTTGGCTCGATGGACCAGCACACGGGCTGGACTTCGTTTTTGACGATGAATCTACGCGTGGAGGTCAAGTCCGGCGTGACGTCACTCGGTACTTCGGGACAATTTTGGGCACCTTCTTTTCAAGTTTTCACCCACTTCCAGCCATCGCAGAGAAAAACGGATAACACCATCGTGATCAGGAGCCAAAGAACTACAAGATAAGACAAAGAAAAATTTTGGTGACAGTTCCCCTTTAAAAGGAAAGTAGCCGGGAGACTGTTTTGGGTAGCGGTTCATAATTGTGTGAAGTGTTGCCTGTATATTTTTTACAGATTGCACCCAGCGCTCTGCAAAAAATAACACCAACATTTGCTGCCTTATTCTGCGAATGGTACTTTATGAGTTTGCACTGGTCTTCAGCATCGCAAAATGCATTGCGTCACACATCACATCTCAAACATCCTTCTGCAGTTCCTGCTTCTTTGCACGGCCCAGCGTGGGGTTTGGCGGCGATCTAAACCCGATCCGACAATAGGCATGCAATGCAGAGTACATGGTAACCATGATCCAACAATCATGGCATTGAAGTTTTGCACCGGGCGCAAATTTGAAATAATTTCACTGTGCATAACTATACGAACCTACACCTGACCGGTCTCATTTCATTTAAAGGAGAGTTTTGATATGCACTGCTCTAGGTAAAGCAAAACTGGTGCGAAACTATTCTGCAGATGGTATGCTCTTTACTGTCCACTGGCATTTTGTGTGAGCGCTACAGGAAAAGCCGATATGCTCTAACAATGGTTACTGCTTATGTGGCAAATGTCAATGTCAGGCTGGCTGGACTGGTCCAACATGCTCTTTCTGCTTGCCCGGTGCTGTAAGTAACAGGGGTGTACATACGAGATTTACTGGGATTTGGGAGAACTGGAGTGAAGGAAAACTAATGAAAATATTTCGAATATGAGATGTGGGTACTTTCAACTGTGACCTGGCCAAATCCCTGAAAAAAATGGCACTGCTTTGTAGCGGCCAAAAACTGAAGAAAAAATAGAGCTTCTGTAATCTGTACAGTACATGGGTATTGGGTTGCAACTGTGTCTTAGCCAAACCTTGAAAAAAAAAGGTATTATTCCCGTAGCTATGCAGAAGACATTACTTCAGTAACGTCTGGCGCTAGCCAGGGTCCACACAGCTTTAATTTGGTGTTTGTTTGTTTGTGTGTTTGTGTCACGCCTGGCGCTATCCCGTATCTGTCCCGTACCGTACCAGCAAACACAGCTGGCCACATACAGCTGGCCGCACTATTCAAATAGGGCTTTCAAACGCAAGATCATAACGTGAAGCAACTTGGAAGAATGAGTATGAATACGAAGTGTATGGGGGAATGCATGTAGGGCGATAGTGCGGGTTCGAATCCCAGGTAATGCCTGAAAAAATAGGAAAATTGAAAATTTTATAACATCCCTATTCTTTTTTTGCCGTCATCAAGGCGGTAGATGGTGTCGTATTACCCTCGACCGTACCTGTCCCGTACCTGTCCCGTACCGTACCGTACAATCAAAGACGGCTGGCCACAATGCATATTCAAATAGGGCTTTCAAATACAAGATCACAACGTGAAGCAACTTGGAAGAATTAGTATGTATGCGAAGTGTATCAGGGGTCCGGGGATGCATGCAGGGCGATAGTGCGGGTTCGAATCCCAGGTTATGTCTAAAAACAAAAAGTAGAAATTTATAAGAATTTATAACATCTAAACAATCGACGAGGAGACAATAGTCGTAAAATGGCAATAAATAAGATAAATTGTGCACTCATAACAACAGCAAAAATGAAGAAAGTCAAGTTCCATAACGTTTTCTTGTGACTATCATCAGTGGAACGCCGTCACGTAAAAATGTAATAACTAAAACACACACTTATATACAATGTCATGTAGCTAATAATATTATGGTTTCAGGTAGAAATACAGCAGCTAACAAGTACAAAAAGCGAAGTTTGCACCTTTGCAATGTGTGAATATAGTGTATGTGAGAAAGGTAGTGGCAGATGAATGTGATACTGTGTGAATGAATGTAATGGTGCGTGTGTATTACTTGAAGAGTGTGAGTGATACAACGTTTTCTTTCTGTTTACTTATACCCAGCTCATATTAACCCCCACTAATTCATGTTATCTATAACTGGTGAATATATCTCCATATTCACCACTTTAACTTGGGGTATATACTTTGCTATATTACCCACTTAGAGGTTGTAACTTTTCAACTTTCAAGGGACTTAGAAATTTTCTCTCCAATTAAAAAAGAAAAAATTGAAGAGAAGAAAGAAGTTTCAGCAGGAATCAAACCTGCAACCATAAGATTCCCAAGCACCTATCTTGACCACCCAGCCACCAGGGTGTTGATGCAGATGATGGTTGAAAGATAGGTCTTAGGTCTGGAACACGCAATGCTACCTACACATAATAGTATACTATAGTATACTGGGATACTAAAATAGCTATTTCGGACCAGTATTTCAGGCCAAAAACGAAGCTAGGTATAAATAGAATAAACACCTCTGTCTTGTGTTTATGGGAATATAAACACTGTCTATAAACACCTCGGCTACGCCTCGGTTTTTAAAGCAGTGTTTATATTTCCATAAACACTACGACATCGGTGTTTATTCTACACAAAGCACAGGGTCACGAGTACGAATATACACAGCTTCCAACACCTGCAATTGCTTGAAGAAACGTGCGCAACGAATAACACTAAACCAGGAATCGTCAAACACCTTACGACATTCTGGACTGGACACCAAATGCTTGTACACTGCGGACTTCCTCTTGTCAACATCAAACTCCTCCTCATCACTACTCTCATCCTCCACCTCCATTCCAATGCCGCCGTCCATCCCATCGCACTCGTATTCGTCGTCATCAGTCTCCATCTCCTCGCGACACCGCTTCCCTCTCCTTGATTCGTACTGTGCCGTGCCTGTGCTTCCTCCTGCGTCTCCTTGCCTTGTGTTCTCCACTTGTCTCAGTCGTGCCTCTGCTAGTCTCTTGCTTCTCCTCGGTTCTGCTCTGTTTTCAAGTTGTTCCCCTTCCGCTCTTACCGTTGTAGCAACATGGTTTGTCGAGGAGCGACCGTCCGGCGGCCTGCCTTGCCGTGGTCCGGTTCCGAGGGGGGAACCAGACTTGTCTGCTCGTTCTCCATGGAAGTAGTCGGTGTTTCTGTTTCCGAATTGTGAGCCGTGCTAGGTGTAGAAATAGGCAGCGGATGTTTCCGTGGCCTCCCACGCTTCGGCCTGCTTAATCTGGCAGCCTGGGACAACAATGATAATGGGACGTGCTGCTTGATGCGTTCCGACAAGTGTTGAAGCGTCCTGCCAACATACCGACTACCACATTGTCGGCATTTAAATTGATAAATGAGATGGCTCAAATGGTGGGTTGGCAGGACGTCCTTCAACACTGTGAACGAACGCACCAATTTAAAGACAGTAACTACATTCACTGCATAGTATGTCTTTTGCACGATCGATTTCACTGCACGACTGACGTTTGTTGATTCAGAGCCTTTCCAAGGCAGGCATAAGAACACCTGACACGGTGTTGGCCCGATTTTGTGTTCCTTCCGCGGCTCTTTGCTCGTGAGCAGTTTTGCTAAGAGTGATGATGGATATCCATTTTTCAGGAAAACTGAGCGCAGGAAATCGAGTTCAGGTTGTAATTTACTGTCAGAGCAAATGCGTCTTGCCCTATCCACCGAGTTCCGGACTAAATTGATCTTGTACTGGGCCGAGCAATATGAGTCATACATTATAATATAATGTATGACTCATATTATATTGTCCTGTAAACGTAGGCTTACGATAAACCGATGTGACAACACCATCACACGTCCGTTCGACTAAGACATCCAAAAACGACAATTTTCTGGATTCTTCGTGTTCACACGTGCATGAAGCGCAGCGCAGGATGGACATCATTCAATTCAGTTAGAAAGGCTTCACTGTCACGTCTTGATTCGAAAGAGGTAAATGAGTCGTCCACAAATCCAATGTACAACTGAGGCCACTTTACTTTATCCATTCTCGACTCGCAATATCCAACGAAGACGTTGGCTAGTGCCGGACCCAGCGGCGACCCCATTGCCACCCCGTCCGTTTGCTTGCACATCACGTCACCGAACGAAAACTCGACACCACTCGTAACCATCAACATCAAACGTCGAAACGCTGACTCAGGTAACCAAGGGACATCGACGTCATCATCATTATGGTAGAGTGTCTGCGCACAGATATCGATCGTCTCGTCTAGTGGAACGTTTGTAAACAGGCTTAGAACGTCGAAAGAACACATATGGCCTGTGGGTGGAATCGGATTTTCACGAAGGATTTCCACAAACTGGAAAGTGTCCTTGACATTATGCTTACAATAGTAGTCTACTACCGGCTGTATCATGCCGCACAGCCACTTTGATATGGCGTACTGGGGCGAGCCTATCATGGAGAGTATGGGTCGGAGCGGGCAGGATGGTTTGTGTATCTTCGGCAAGCCGTACATCCTAGGGCGCACCGAACCGATTGGCTTCATTCGAATAAACTCTGATTCTGATATTTCTTTCGCATGTCGGAGGTTCTTAAGATATGTCACTAGTTCTTTCTCCCTAACCAATGTTCTATCATGTGTTGAGACCGGACCGAGTTTCACAAATTTCGACCCGTCCTCTAGTATTGTAGCCATTTTAGTATTGTAGTCAACTCCTGTCATAATAACGGTTGCACGACCTTTATCCGGTCGGGTGATGATGATACTATTGTTCTTTTTTAGCTCTGCACGAGCTTTCATGTGTTCGCGGGAGAGAGAAAATGTCCGTCGTTCTGCGGCCTGCTCGGCATGTTCTTCCGCCGCAGCACGGAGTGTGGCTGCGCACACCATTTTCTTTGATTCAGAAACTGGTGCAAAATCACGCAGTTTGCGATAAAATAATTCAAAATCGCAAAGTACTTGCTCCTTCATGTTCGATGTTGGTGGTATGCCGAAATCTATGCCTCTAGATAGTAGCTCTTGTTGGACAGTGGTAAGTGGAATGTTCGCCAGGTTAATTATCATGTTGGTATCAATTGTTATGGCACCAAAGCGCTTCTTTCGAAGCCACTTGATGTTATGATCATACTTGGTAACTAGTCGGGTGTGCAGCCTATCATCATTCTCTGATATAAGTATGGAAAACCGAAGACTTGTCCGAACGCATCAAGCAGCACGTCCCATTATCATTGTTGTCCCAGGCTGCCAGATTAAGCAGGCCGAAGCGTGGAAGGCCACGGAAACATCCGCTGCCTATTTCTACACCTAGCACGGCTCACAATTCGGAAACAGAAACACCGACTACTTCCATGGAGAACGAGCAGACTAATCTGGTTCCCCCTCGGAAACCGGACCACGGCAAGGCAGACCGCCGGACGGTCACTCCTCGACAAACCATATTGCTACAACGGTAAGAGCGGAAGGGGAACAACTTGAAAACAGAGCAGAACCGAGGAGAAGAAGAGACTAGCAGAGGCACGACTGAGACAAGTGGAGAACACAAGGCAAGGAGACGCAGGAGGAAGCACAGGCACGGCACAGAACGAATCAAGGAGAGGGAAGCGGTGTCGCGAGGAGATGGAGACTGATGACGACAAATACGAGTGCAATGGGATGGACGGCGGCATTGGAATGGAGGTGGAGGATGAGAGTAGTGATGAGGAGGAGTTTGATGTTGACAAGAGGAAGTCTGCAGTGTACAAGCATTTGGTGTTCAGTCCAGAATGTCGTAAGGTGCTTGACGATTCCTGGTTTAGTGTTATTCGTTGCGCACGTTTCTTCAAGCAATTGCAGGTGTTGGAAGCTGTGTATATTCGTACTCGTGACCCTGTGCTATGTAAACAGAAAGAAAACGTTGTATCACTCACACTCTTCAAGTAATACACACGCACCATTCACACAGTATCACATTCATCTGCCACTACCTTTCTCACATACACTATATTCACACATTGCAAAGGTGCAAACTTCGCTTTTTGTACTTGTTAGCTGCTGTATTTCTACCTGAAACCATAATATTATTAGCTACATGACATTGTATATAAGTGTGTGTTTTAGTTATTACATTTTTATGTGACGGCGTTCCACTGATGACAGTCACAAGAAAACGTTATGGAACTTGACTTTCTTCATTTTTGCTGTTGTTATGAGTGCACAATTTATCTTATTTATTGCCAATTTATAACATCCCTATGCTTTTTTGTCTAGGTCATCAAGGCAAAAAAGCATAGCGTAGGGCCCTGAGCTTCCAAGCTCTCTCGTTTTGCAGTGAACTGTGCACACACTTCACTCTAAGACTGTGCACAGCGTATTGATTTTCACCAAACACTTAGGTGCTAAACATTAATGTCTGGAGCTCCATGGTGCACCTTCTGGCGCACAACAAGTTGTGCCGTGTGATGATGTGGCTTCAACGGTTTGCGCCACTGTCACTGGGATGGATGTAAACTGTACATGTATGTGATAGTGACCCTTTGCTTGAGGAATGGTTTAGCACCCTGTACTGTTTTCCCTATGCTTGTGGAATGGTTTAGCACCCTGTACTGTTTTTCTACCAACCACCCCTACATTTCGGACCCATTCCTCTTTTGTGGAACGGAAAAGGACATATGGATACGAGTTAAGAGGAACTGTCCACCACTGTAGCTAGATACTATAATATACAGTAGGGGTGAAAGTTGGCAATGAGATCCCGAGTTCGAGTACTCTGATTTTCTGCGATCGAATATTCGAGTATTCGAGTATCCTTCATCTCCTAAAATTGCACACCAAGGGCCTTCAAATCGCAGGATACAACCCCGATTGAACCGAGTAGCAATCATTTTTCTCAGGTATATTGGTTGGTGGGTCATTTGGGCTCCCTCTACTCGTGAACAAATGTTCCCCACACAGTCTGCACATCAATATCTGCCGACTGCTGCTCTGAAACTGCAGATTCAGTGGTAAACGCATGTACCATGTATGAACGAGTACTCTGATTTATTCCGAGTACGATTATTTTTGAAAAAAACCCGAGCGAGTACTCGAGTACTCGGTATAATTGTTTCACCCCTAATATACAGTCAGTAAAGTGTAACAACTAGGCACAAAACTGACGGAGTATTCCTCTTTTAAAATTATTTTGGTTTGTTAATGTTCTGCCACCGGTGGAAGCCGAAGATAATTTGACTTCGACATTCCAAGGGCCAGTGCTCTATCCAGAGCTGTATTGAAAACTGCCGGGGCATGGCAGATGTCTACTACTGAAGAGATAGCTGGTGCTGTGGTGTGTTTGGTATGAAGGCTGATTGCTCACGGACCCGGCTGTGCTGAAAATGAAGGTGTGTCTGGGTAATGCAAGGCTGTTGCTGGAAGTCTGAAGAAAATGTTGGAAGATCACTGCTGGGATGACAACTACACCATAGCTTTGTGATAAAACATCGCTGGCCGTAAGCAAGGGTCCCTGGTTTCAGTCCTGGTGGCGGCAGTCGATTTTTCCAGGCTTTTCCCGTTTCAACTCCCTCAAAGTCATGAGCACATCTCAGACTGTAGAGATTTTAGAATAACAGTAATTGTTTTAAAACTGTCAAGTGTTCACCTGTCTTTTGTTTCAGATCTGCAGTCAAGGCCAATGCTTCCTTGCTGCCGCTTGTATCTTTGCACCGCTTGAGTGCCGTGGGAGTGATTCCTGCTACCTGTGCATGGGAGAGAATACTGTCAGCAGCTATTATAAAGGAGGCAAAACCTGCATACGACACTTCTGCCCCGCCAACATCACCTTCCTGCTGCTGGATACGCCTCCGGAGACGTACACATTTGACGGTACAGCATTGTCAATTGCCATACATGTACACATGATACAGAGCAATACATTGTAATAAACAGGGCCGGTCGACGGGCAGCTTTAAAGAGTGCTCAATGCACAAATATTCAGAGCCATATACACACGCCGGAGTCAAAGGGTGCAACTTACAGCTTGTTTGGGCGCGTTCCTGCGACTCAAGTTGAACTCGAGTTGAACCTTGGTGCGAAAGTTGTACTGTGACCCTGCAGACACGGTGACCAGGTGACTGGTGTACACATGAGCACGTGACTGCTTATTCATCCATGTTCGATTGGGAATAAGAGCTGAACGCTGCATCGCAGCCTTCTCGGACCAAGATCAAGCGACTCAGTGTCTAAAAGACTACAACATATGGACCAATCACAGTCTGCGTGCTTTTATAAGAACGAAATGTATATAATAACACATGGTACAAAGGGAATTATGGCTGATTTTATGCCCTAATGCGTAGCCCGAGGTCGTGCACCATAGCCCAAGCGCCACAGGCCCGCGGGCTACGGTGCATGACCGAGGGCTACACACTAGGGCACACAATCAGCCATAATGCACAACGCACCATGTGTTTATTATAGTTCATACATGCCACGTGCCTAGTTGTAGACAAATAAGGTAAACATGGTCGAGGGAGGAGGAGGAAGGTGCCAATCAGCTGTCATATGAATGAAGGGTCGAGGAAGATCGGAAGGAGCTTTCTCCGTGGAATAGTAGAACGTTTTGCATCAGATTTACTTGCCCAGTTCCAGTAATATGTCTTTGCATTTTTGTGACACCGTTGCCAATTGGGTGGTACGGAAGTTAGCTAGCCTAGTTCACATTCGACGCAACGCCGACGGTACGGGACGTAAGGGCTTGTCGGGAGGGCTGGGGTGAGCTGTAAAATCCTGTACGATTCGTACGACACGACATGCAACAGTCGTTGCGACGTTCAACATCGAACGGCGCGAGTCATAAGGCACGGTCCGTGACGGGGTGACTTTCGGACCTAATTTTTCTTTTTCGGGACTTCTTTTCAATTATTTCTCCTTGAAAGAAGCGGAATCAAGTTCACAATACCAGTTTTTCATTAAGACCAAAAAATTAGCCCTGACAGTTGTGCCATTCAAATAATAGCCCCAGGAAATGATAGAATAGTTCATCTGTCACGCTTCTGAACTATCCCTAAACACAATAAGTGACATGAGATCTTATGTTGCTAAAATTCAACTCAAGTCGTGCTAGCCCCTCTGTGAGTTATCATGGGAAGCGCAGTGTTCGAAATGCGAAAAATTTCCAAGTACGAATCGGGAGTAGTCGGCGCACGACGCCGTCTCCTGTTCACACTCGAATTGCAGCCGTTTTGTACGCTTGCGTCCCCGTCTACGCCCGTCTACGGTATGAAAAGTTGGATCGATCCAACTCTTCTCGTCGCTTCCCGATCTGTACGGTAGAACGGTTGCGCTCCCGTTCCTGGTGTTCACATTGGACGCCGTCAGACCGTCCCGTCGCTTCCCGTCGATCCTTACGTCGCGTCCCGTCGCGCCTCGTCGAATGTGAACTAGGCTTTAGCTGATTCGCTCTGGCTTTGGAGTTGGCGTTGAACGAAAACAGCCAGGACCAAGTGGTACTAGTAATTAGACTAGTTTTGGGGGTACATTGTAAGTGTTCTTATTCGGAACAATGATCCTCTCTCACATACAGCTGAGATTTTGTTCCCATTGCTGTCAGTTTACTTGAGGTCCATGTACAGTGTACATATAGCTACAATGTAGGCCCGCACGGTACACTTGAAGTACTTTGAAGTAGATGTACAGTGGTCCCTCTATAATCCGGCACCATTTGTGCCACGGAAAATCTGCTGGATTAGGGAGGGTGCTGGATTAACAAATCGGATTTACTGCTGCAATGTGCATGAAGAGGATATTTTGGCTACTGAAAATTGTGTTGGTTTATCGAGGGTGCTGGTTTATAAAGTGCTGGATTAGAGAGGGACGACTGTAACTGTATATTTTTTACCAGTGTGAGATACACTGATTTGATCTACTTGACTCCAGATAGGTAACTTTGTGATGCATGTTCACCAGTCGACTTGTTCGTCTCAATTTAGTAATGCATTGTAAGAGATAACAAGGATGCTGTTTACAGGGTTATGGCCGTTACACGCCCGATTGGTTGAGAGACTAACCTCCTCTCCCCCTGACTCACTTGTGAGGTCTGCATTCGCCACTAAGGTGAACAGGCATAGTGGTGGCCTGCGGATGCGAAGGCTTGTTTGTGTGTTTCTGAACATTCAAGTGATGCCGACGCGGATCCCGCGAACATTATAATTGTAGTAGACATGCTGAGTGTCATTTTCTTGTCACGTTAAAGTAATAATTATTTTAAACTACTTCTCCTTTATAACATAAGGAGGGGAAGGTGTTATGTTATTTCTATAACTTAGAACCTTCCAAGTTGGAAGGCTGTTGGAGTGCGCATCCAAGATGTGCTAGAGCTGTTAGCCAGTTAGTTGTAGAACGTCAGTACTGTCGGTCAGTGTCGTGCAATGTTATCGCATGAGCTGATTGTTTAGTAACTGGTGGTGTTAGTGGACTGTATAGCGTAACTTGTGGTTCCTTGGTCTTTCTCTTTTGTATAAATTAAACCTTGGCTCTCCATCTGAGTCCATTCCTACTTCTCCTTTGTCGACATTGGTAGTATTATAAAACTGTAATTGTTTCGGACGGTGCACGTAAGTAGTTTTGTTTTGGGTGGTGTGTGCGAGTGCATGTGGTGTCCTTAGGAATGGTCCCAGGGTGTTCTATGTGTGCTGGACAAGTGCCAATTACGTACCAGGTCACAGCCCTAAAGGCATGGCCTGGTATAATAATTGGCAGTGCACCTGCGTACGTAGTACGCCTGGGGCCATTCCTAAAATGGGCATGGGTACGGTGCTACTCTGATTGGCCCAATGCTAGCAACAACCTGACAACAGGCACGTGACATGTATGAACGGGCGCTTTTAGTGACATTTTGCATACAAATCCTCATCTAGTAGGGCACAGTCACCCAGTTTCGGTGGAAGTGGCGAGTTCGATTGGGAGTAAAGGAGGAACGGAGCGTATCAGCTTCCTCGGACCAGACCGTCATTCGACTCAGCAACCCGAAGAATCCAACTTGTGAAAATTTGATTTAGGCTTAACTTCCCCTTTAAGAAATATTAGCAGTATTACAGAAAATACAAACCGACTTGCTAAAATTCTGAATAGAAAGGATTCAAAAATGAAAATAAAATTATTAGTTTGAGAGAGCCCGATGTGAATGTAGATCTTTAGGCCACGATAGGAGAGTAGGCAATTTTCAACGCTTTGTTTTAAACTGTTTGTAACCTGCAGATCCGTCGAACCCTCCTTCTTTCCGAACGGAGGGAACTCTATGCATAACTCAGAATGTGCAATTCTTTGTAGCTTCTTCCAATAATCGCTTCATAGGCATTGCCGTTGTCTTTGCATTTAAAGGTAAGAGTACTACTCTTAGAAGGTGGCACAGCGCATGTCAACTACCTATAGCCTACTTACTGCATTCACTTCTTTCATGCAGTTTGTTCCTGACAGGCCATATTCGATACAGAATCCATTCAGCACGCTGACTTGAACAAGTTGTGTACTTGCATTGGCTCCATAGCAGACTGTTCCCCATCTCTCCCCCCCCCCATTACATGGAACAGTGGAGAATAGGTGCATTGGCTCCACATCGGACTGCCCCCCTGCCCCCTTCCTCCCCCACCTCCCCAGTATTTGGAACAGTGGAGCCGGCTGACCGCTTTAATGCGCTTCCCGAATCCCTTCGCACTGCGGATCATATCCCCTATTCTTTTCGCCAGGAACTTAAAACACACTCATTCATCTTGGGCACCCTGTAAGAAAACCTTAGGGTATGCTGGGAATGTCCAAGTAAAATAATAAGATACACTACCAAAAAAATACAAATGTTCTGAGTTGCAGGCAATTCCTAGTTAGGGGCCGTCCGTAAATATCGATGTTTTTTTAGAGACGATATTGGTGCGTTTGGGGGGGAGGGGGTTTGAGCCATGTGCGTCTTTTCGAGCATCAGAAAAATATCGATGTAAATATCTGAAGTTTCGCCGATCCCTGCACGCGGACGTCTAAATGGCTATACAAGAAATGTGAAACCAGCTTCCGTTCGCGGAGCTAAAACTCGCGACACAAGAACAAAATCAAAAATTGGAAGCTGTACGCCCATGGCGAATTTCAAGAGCAAAAGAATGAGCTATTGATTGTGGAAATCGGCCGAACGATGCCTGCAGGAGACCTTTTTCAAGACATAGAGGCAGTGCGAACAAACACGGACGAACTCCACAAGAGTTTCCAGTCTCCTACTATGGGCTAATGCAGCACAGAAGGCTGCTGGCCACAAGTGTTCTCGAGGGCGACCAAAAAAGTCATAATGCTCTCCTTCTCAATTAGACCATATGAGGCATGGGCAGCAAAAACCAGGGTTAGGTGATATTTGGCAAAAATGAGTTTTTGATGGCTTTGAACTGTCTACTAAATGAGTGATCTATGGGCCAAATTTTGGAGCTCTGGGCACCTTCCAAGATGGTAAAAAGAACGCCCGAAATGATGGGTGACGGTCAACAAAAATGGTCAGCAAAAAGGCAAAATGGAACGCAGTTACAGCGAGCTCTAATGGAGTGACTGAGAACAATTTAGCATATTTATAGGTCTTCAGGGAAGCACGGCGTACTCTAGTTGATATTATAGTAACATTGTTGCCTGCACTTGCTGCAATGTTACTTGAAAACTCAATCCCTGTCATGTGCAGGTCTGGTGTTGTATGCAGACTTGTCAGACAGAAAGAAGCCAAGCAACTGACGTTTTACATGGCTGGGAAGAATCTGCAACTAATTACTTAGGACAAGACTAGATATGCATGCTGGGCCAAGCCAGATACATCCACCAAGCATGTCTTGCTCTCCTACGCACAGCAGCTCGTAGATACATGTATAATACTGTGACAAATTTCATGCGCACCGCAAGCGTGCATGTATACTTGCAACAATTTTATTCACAAAATATCTTGTATCAAGTAAGGTTTAGTTCATTCAGGGATGTCTCCGTATCTCACCAACTTATCCAGCTGCGAATAGTCGCCACGGAGTACTGAATCTCGTTCGTCACTCTCAGCTGTCCGCGTCGCCACTTCGTGTCACGGAGCTCTCAAACTCGTCGTCTGCGCTGCCTCCGCTGATGGCTTGTCATCTGAGCGGAACCTCTTCACTTTCACCTGATTCTTCTTGCGGGGGACTATCACAGGCAGCGGAGTATCTCTGGAGATCCAGCTGCCAAATATTCTAGTCGCTCGTGCTCCATCAAGAATTCGTGACGGGATCGTTCCGCCAAGAAATTATTTGTTCCGCTCTCTTTTCAGCGCATGATTTGCAGACGCTACCCAGAGCGCAAACGCCTCCATGGTGGCTGAAAGCGCCTACCTGGACGTCCCAAGTGCTTGGCGGATAAACTACAACTGCAATGACAACAAATTATAGCGAAGCCACCGAGAGGAAAGCACTTTCAAAGCGATATCGCAAGAAGTCTTTCCGCTTTGATCGCGGTGACTAAAAAACGACATCGGTTCGGTTTTTCGCAAATATAGGCATTTTGAAAAATCGCCAGGACCCCGGTTCTTGCTGCCGATGCCTCATATAAATACTGCAAACTTGCCATCTTGGGTTCATATTACAGTTGAACATCGATTATCCGCACATCGACTATCCGACCATTCGATTATCCGTAACAGTTTTTTTGGGCGCACGTGCCGTAGAGTACGCACTGTGCATGTAGTGAGCCATTCAAAAAATACGAAAATTTTGAAAAGTAAAAAGTAAAAGGTCGTGCGGCTAGTAATAACCACTGAAAGTGTGTGAGTGACAGTTTTTTCTTATCCGGAACATTTGCCTTATCTGAACACCGCCTGACAGTTGTCTGCCCAGAGGTGGTCGGATAATCGATGTTCAACTGTATTGACAAAAAAAGGAAAAAAATGAGCATCCAAAAATATTGATTCCATGATCTAGATGTACATGTGCGTCTTCTGGGGGGAGGGGGGGGTCAAGGGAGAGAAGCACCAATATCGTCTCTAAAAAAACATCGATATTTACGGACGGCCCCTTACGGCAGTACTCGGTCCCAACCTGTCCGGATTAGGCCGGGAGTTTTATGGTACTTGAAGAACGTTTTGTCCCAAATGATTCTCTTGACCTTGGAAACATCGCGATAGTATTTGAGTTTGGCATACAAACACTACAGCTCTTTTTTGTACTCATCTGTCACATTTTCGCTGAATCTTAGCCGGAAGGTACCTGATTACAAACAGCTGCTTAGCGGTGGAAACACAGAATTACAACTGGCATTTATCGATCAGAGAAGGATGAGCTGAGCTGAGCTGGTGTCTCCTTCACTGGGCCCCGTTGTTTCCCACGGAGAGGTGGTCCACATATTCTCGCTCCACATTATGTATTTATTTATATATTACAGCATCTCATAGCACAGTGAGAACACCGACATACAGACATAGACTCAGACAACGGGGGACACAGGAGCACACAAAGTGAGGGGTAGTAGGCCACAGCCAGATGTGACTGGTGAGACTCAAAAACTGACTGAAGAAGTCAGGCAAAAAGAACAACAACAAAAGCGGAAAAAACATCAGACGCAATATTCGCAAGAGGAAAACATTATTGCACAATAAATCATTTCTCGCCTATCTCGCTCCGAACGGCGAGAAAGATAACTTCCTTTGGCTATCACTTCTTCCCTCTTGTTGTTGTCTGCAGGGTCTGCTGCACCAACTGATCTAAGGGACCCACCTCTGGTGATTGCACTCGTGTGTATGGCATTGCCTCTTCTACAGCTCATATAGGACCTTTGCAGATGGCAGGTGAAGGCTGCGGGAAAGGCACTCAGTGCTTCAACTAATACATGTACATGTATGTTACTTCATGTGTTTGTGTGTTACTTCATGTGTTTGTGTGTTTGTGTGCGTATGCCATATTTTGCCGGCATGAATTGCAATATAAACCATACATACATACATACCATACATATAGATCTAGCTCTGGCCGCAGTACATGTACTCCGCCAGGACTGTGCCTTCACCATTTTGACAGAAGTAGAACCGGCATACAATAACCATGGTCCTGCCTGTCGCACGTGCATGGCAGTCTCGCAATTATAGTGGTGCTATAGTACACATACACTCGGACGTCTCTTATCCGGGCACCTTGGGACCGGGTACTGGTTGTATCTCAGATTTGCCCGTATCTCAGAATAACTCATCTACCATGTATCATTATCACTTTTTGAAGAAGTTTATTTGGAACGTATTGCACATGTTCAGGATACAAAAGGAACCCATTGGTAAAAATGTGTGGATTACATAATATGTAGGTTGGCAGTGAAAAATAAGCACTTCCGAATACGGAAAAAGTTCAAAACCCCCAAATTCGAAGTATTTGTGCTATAGCCTCTCAAGCTAAAGGTGCCCGGTAGAGAGACGTGCCCGTAACTGAGGCGTCCGGATAAGAGGCGTTTGAGTGTACTGTAGTTTGAAATTCCAAAGTACAAGTAGTAAAGCCAGCTGCATGCATTGCATCTGGATTCTCACTCTCTTCCTCTTTCTTCATCGTCCCCTCCCCCCCCCCCTTGAAATGCATGATTTCTTTCCAATTATCATTTTCACATTTCTGTGGATGATGTCTACATGATGTGATTGCACCGTAAAGTCCGCTGCAAACGCCCACTTCGCTGCAAACGCCCACCCCAGCGAGTCCATACTATTTTCGTCTTTTTCAGGTCAATATAGTTGTAGAAAACTGGCATGAAGCCGAATGAGTACGAAAACGGCTGTAATGCCTACAAACTGCCTATGTCTTACCAGGAGGCTCTGAAAAAGCGATTGTCGTCAACTTGCTGCAAAGAAAAACTTCTGTCGAGATTTCCTTTCATTCGATAAATGAGTCGTTTTTGTGGTAGGTCGCTCTCCATGTAGTAATGCCGTAGAATCCATCTGGTTTTCATGAAATTTCTGCAGTGCCACTTGAAGAACGGAACTGTGATTGCTCTGACGAAGCGTCATTCAACGACTTGACCGCTCGCAGTATTGCAGTTGCAAGTCGAACAGGGTATGTCACAGAAGCTAGTACAAGCTACACCTACAAAGTCGCTGCTAACTTGTTGAAAACTCTGAAGTGCTCGAGAAAAACCCTTGCCTTTGAGCGATGCGTGATTTGGAAATGATCAGAAGTGTATTTGGTTCCTGCAATACTCTGTTCTTCGCTACCTTGTTATTCGGAAGAAACTCCCATTTGGATTTGCGAAATAAAGCAACCTTCATCATAAAATCACTACGAGCTAGCTCGTAGCTACAGTCCATTTCAAAACTATAGACGCGTACCTAGGCAAAAACCGTTATGCCGGCATCTATACCACATAAAATCTGTGATCACTTTGTGCATAATTTTTTCCAAATTGGTCGTCTGTTATCCAATCGTTTAGAAACTATATGAGAGTAATTGTGGAGCGATCCTGAGCAATATTCCGAAAACTATTCTCAAAAAAGTCCAGCCAAATTTGAATTATTTCAAAAACCCTACGCGTCTATAGTTTTGAAATGGACTGTAGTGCCCAAAGATATTTTGAAACCAGGAAAGTGGACATAGTTTACCGTAGCAAAGCGCTCTTCCCGCTACGGTATGAGACGCAATTTCGTACAGTAGAGGTGACAGTGCATGGGGTCAGTGTGTACAGGCCAGCAGATCTTGCAAAAAAGGGGTGGGCGTTTGCAGCGGACTTTACGGTATATCTACTCTTTAACTCATCCAACCTGGGTTACAGTCAACTTTGCTCTACTTTTTTCAAGTTTTTTGAAGTCGTATGGGTACTGTAGTGCACTCTAGTGCATGCTCGCTACTCACTGACTGGTATTGCTCCCCAGGAAGACAGTGGCCAAAGTGATACTACATACCGCCCCCGGTTGTCCAGAGTTTAACACACTCTGGACAAATTTAGTAATTGACTTTGTAATGCATGTTCTACACGAACTCTGAGCATTTTTTCTCACTCTACTGCAGCCACTGCCGTATGATTTACTCATTAGTCAGTCTGACCACTCACTCTTATTGGTCTTTGCTTGTCCACCCTGATCATCGGATGGGCCCGGAAACTTGTGATGGAGCGGTTTAGGTATTCGCAGCGGAAAGACCATTGAGAGTGAGTGCTTGGATGAAGTAACACTCCGAAATATAATTATTACCCCACCAAGACAAGACCGTCCCGGTGGCTGTGACAGAGTTCTTCAAGAGTCACAGCCAGGAAGCTGGTAGGCTGGTGATTTGCTAGTGTACCGTAATTTCCCTCGCAATCGCGCCTTTGCCAAGATTGGCCATACATGTACCTTGTAAACCATAGAAACACAAGCTATTGTAATGCACCAAAATTCTACAAGAAGTTTGCTTTCATCATTGCTGAAAGATATCTGATTGAGAATATAGACTTAATATGACTCCCGGGGAGTCCCCTTTCTGTTCATCGGTGTCCGTTAGATACGGTTGCAGTCACACTTTCAAAGCATGTTTTAAGAAAAATATGCATACAACACCTGTGCTTCTGTTGCTTTTTCCCAATCTCATACCATTCTTGAAAAGATGGAAACGTTTGGCAGCGGATCGGATCCTTTTCTGTCTGTAGCAGCGGATCGGATCATTTTCTGTCTGTACCCTATTCAGTTTTTACATCCAAAAATCGCAAATTTCGCAAAATCCGAGTATTCTTCCGTGACAGATCATACAAGGTGCAGTGTCCGACAACAACAACATACATGTAGTTACGTACCCCAGTAGTCTAACTTACTCGTATGGGTAGCATACAGGTACATGTTCACTGTAAAATTAGTGCAGCAAAGGTCGTTTTGCTGGCCCCGGGGAAAATCGTGATTCCGCGGCCGCGTTCCCCCCCCCCCCGCGTTTTTTTGCAATTTTTTAAAAGACCGCGTTTTCCGCGATTTTCCCGCCTTTTTGAACTTTTTTGTTGCACTACACGTACACACAGTGCACTGTTTGTTTGTTTGTTTGTTTTATTTTACTTCACCAAGTGAACAGGCATTTCTGCCTTCTCACCAGGTGTTATGAACCCTCTAAGATTCTCTCAATTGTCAGGATCGTACGACCACACGGCACGAGGACAACTCTTTTCCTTTACACAGTATATTTCACTTCATCTGATAATTAACAATGAACACTAATAACACCAGCTATTTATAGCATGCAGAAACAGCGTACATGCAAAACATAAGCATATAAAACTGGACATAACAGCGTATACAGCAAAACGCACACAACGCATATAGCGTATGCCATGCAGCAACATCAGCGGTACGGCGGAGTCGAAATACAACATTTCAACGAATACAATGCCATAAGCGCGAAGGCCTTTCCCAATTGAGAACTGGTGGTTTACAACATTCTCCCCACCAAAGGGCTTCTCACCGCCGTACAACAATGCACACAAGTCAAAAACGATCCGGGGCTCTGACTACGCGCCCAGAACGCGTCATCTCCTGCTGCCGTGGTGGTGGTAACGGTGCTGGCGGTTCATACGCTGGCTGCTGAGGGACGATAGCAGGTTGAGCGGTATCGGCAAGCCCAGGAGCCACGTCCTGTGACGATACTTCTAATGGCACTAACCTTTGGATCGGCCTCAACAGGGTACTGGTACTCAACTTAACCTTGGCAACACGACGCTTGCCATCTCGACCAGGGAATAACTCGATGATCCGTCCCAAACGCCAGAACTGTTTGCGCTTGGTATCATCGAGAACAAAGACAACATCACCCACAGCTAAAGGGCGCGACATGGTCTGTTGGTGCTTGTTCAGCTGACTTAGGTACTCCACCTCCCAACGATTCTTGACATGCTTCAGTGTCTGACTGAGGTAACGCAATCTCGCTGACATATGCGTAGCGTCCGGGGTACCTGCTGGCTTCGCTGACGACATCCAAATGTTACCCATCATCATTGCAGGGGTTACTGGTGGCTCATCCAGGCTATCAGACACATAAGTTAACGGACGACTATTCACCACTGCTTCAACCTCATACAAGATGGTCTCAAGCTCCTGAACCTTCAGAAACGCTGTTCCCATTACCTTTTTCAAGGCACTCTTCACTGTACCAACCATTCGCTCATAGAAGCCTCCATGCCATGGTGCAGCTGGAGGATTGAACATCCATGGCACACTCAGTTTGTCAGATGCCGCCTTGAACGTTGTAGCGTTGTCAGACCTGATCCGAGACGGCAAACTACGTCTCGCGACAAACTTCCGAAATGCCATCAAGAATGACTCGGTACTTAAACTATCGACCACCTCCAAGTGAACTGCTTTGGTGGTGGCACACACAAACAATGCTATCCATACCTTCGGAGATGACTCACCACGGCGCACGTACAACGGACCAGCATAGTCGATGCCGGTAGTTGCGAACGGCCTCTCGTGAACAACTCGGTCTTCTGGCAGCGGCGGGCAGACTTCTGAGGCAGCCTTAGCCTTGTAGCGGCGGCATGTAACACATCGCTGAGTAATGTTGCGTAGCGCTCGTCGACCACCGATAATCCAGAATTTCTGACGGATAAACGACAAGACTCCTTCTACACCTTGGTGCATCCTTTCAACATGCATTTTCTCCAACAGCAAATCGGTCAGATGATGTTTGCCTAACAGGACTGGGTGCTTGGCTCCATACGCCAACTCGCTGTGCTGAAGTCGTCCCCCGGCTCTGAGCACTCCATGCTCATCCAGAAACGGTGCAAGCTGATACACCTTCGACCCGGGCTTCACTGGTTGACCTTGCTTGATCAGCTCAAGATCCTCAGCGAAACATGCGGCTTGAACGATGCGGTACAATACATTGTCTGCTGCAAAATA